TCGAAAGCACGTCAAGGTGCAAGTAGATAAATAGGTACCGCTCCAGCGGGAAGGTAAACGGCGTTTCCGTGCGCTGCTCTGGTTAGTCAGAAGCGGCTTAGTCATGCTGGCCACATGATCCAGAAGCTGTACGCCAGCTCCCTCGGCCAATAAAGCGAGATGAGCACCAGAACCCCAGAGTCGGTCACGACTGGACCTAATGGTCAGGGGTCCCTTTACCTTTACTGAAGTGCTGTAGACATGTTGTCCTCCTCTGACAGGGCAGAATAATACTCTGCAGCAACAGTCAAACCATGCATGTAAAATGCTATGATACCACTGTAAATAGTTATGACTTTCCACAAAGAATTCTGGGAGCTGTAGTTTATTCAGGGTGCTAAGAGGTGCCCTGTTACCCCCTCAGTGATACCATTTCCAGAGTCCCCTGTGAAGAGGAATCGGTCGTAAAACCACTCTTGGAATTGTAGCTCTTGGAGGGGGAATAGGGTTCTCCAAACAACTCTCAGCACCTAACAAACCACAGCTCCCAGAATTATTTGGCAGAACTCATGCAAGTTGCATCACAGTGCTTTAAATATATAGTTTAGATGTGGCTGGCAACTAAAGCAAAGGTGCTATTGTTCTAGTATTCACCAGATGTTTTTGACTGGAACTTCCATCAGCCCCAATCCGGCACAGCCAACCGTCAGCCAGGAAGGGAGTAGTACTCCAAAACATCTGGATGGCACTGGATTGGGAAATCCAGTATTAACCTATTAAAATTTCCTTCCAGTAGCACCTTAAAGACCAACTAAGTTAGTTCTTGGTATGAGCTTTCGTGTGCATGCACACTTCTTCAGGTATTTTTTGTTTTGACTATGGCAGACCAACACGGCTACCTATCTGTAACTGGAACTATTAAAACTTGGGAGCTTCAATAGCCTTTATTTTTATTATGGATTAAGTAGCAAGAAGACAGGCCAAGATTGGTGGTGGACAAGAGCTTGTCTGAGGGGTGGGGGACCTTTTTCAACAAAGGGCCACATTTACTTTTGAGCAACTCTCCCAGGGCCACATGTGCATGGTGGGCGGGACCAGTGGAAAAGTGGGTGGAGCAATGCATGCAAAGTTTGCCTCTGTTTGGTAGGCTAGTTTTGACATGCGCTCCACAATCCCCCCCCCCTTTAGCCTTCACCTGGGCAAGTAAGAAGTATTAGCAGAGTTCAAGGACACATTCTAGCTGGGGGGGAAACCCTCAAGGGCATGGATAGCTCAATTGTTTAGTGTGGTGTTGATAACGCCACTGTTGCAGGTTCAATCCCCATATGGGACATCTGTGGTCTAAGCCACTGAGCCTCTTGAGCTTACTGATCAGAAGGTCAGCAGTTCGAATCTCCACGACGGGGTGAGCTCCTGTTGCTTGGTCCCAGCTCCTGCCAACCTAGCAGTTCGAAAGCACACTGGCGCAAGTAGATAAATAAGTACCTCTGCGGTGGGAAGGTAAACGGTGTTTCTGCGCGCTCTGGTTTTGTCACGCTGTTCCGTTGCACCAGAAGCGGTTTAGTCATGTTGGCCACATGACCTGGAAAGCTGTCTGTGGACAAACGCTGGCTCCCTCAGCTTGAAAGAGAGATGAGCGCCGCAACCCCATAGTTGCCTTTGACTGGACTTGACCATCCAGGGGTCCTTTATTCCTGCACTGCAGGGGGTTGGACAAGGCTCCTTCCAACTCTACAATTCTATGGGTGGATATGTCCCAAGGGTCAGACAGGCAGGCTTGGAGAGCTGAATTTGGCCACCAGAGTTGAGGATTCCCACCCCTGGCCTCCCCTCTTTAAGAGATATAGCTCTGCAGTTGCAATTTCAGCCTAGAGAAAACTCTCCTGATGCAGAATGGCTTGGGAATGTGAAAACTACAATTCCCCACCCTCTTATAGAGTGCAGCATGTGGTGGCCCAATTATTGCCCAGCTTAATGTATAGTGTTGGGCGGCAAGCCAGGAATAGGGAGGCCTTTTAATGAAACGTACCATGGGGGAGGAGGGGAAAAGAACATTGTAAGAATGAGCTAATTATGAGGTAGGTCTCTGGAGGCAACTGCACGAGCAAAGAGAACACACAGTTAAAAAAAAATAAATCAAAATATTTTTAGGCTTCTCAAAGATCCTTCCAGAATATTCTGTCAGGGGAAAACAAAGGGGAAGAGAAACACCTGCCATCAAAAAATGCAGAAAAGCCTGTCAATAAATGAGCAAGACCCAGGGTGGGAGGAGAAACAGGAGGCTATGGCGGAAGCTGATCAAGCAAATACATGGGTTACTGGAGTGGCACCCAATCTCCCCTCACCCAGGTGAAATTAGGTTTCAAAGAAGCCTTGTATTGTAGCCAACAGAATAGCACTGTGTACAGAGATTTAAATCATGGGTAGGGCAAACTACGGCCCAGGGACCAGATCCGGTCCAATCACCTTCTAAATCCGGCCAGCGGACGGTCTGAGAATCAGTGTGTTTTTACATGAGTAGAATGTGTTCTTTTATTTAAAATGCATCTCTGGGTTATTTGTGGGGCATAGGAATTCGTTCATTTCTTTCCCCTTCAAAATATAGTCCGACCCCCCACAAGGTCTGAGGGACAGTGGACCGGCCCCCTGCTGAAAAAGTTTGCTGACCCCTGATTTAAATCATATCCCCCCACCTCCCCCCCCCAATAATTATTGGGAGCTGTGGCTTGTTAAGGTTGCCGGAATTGTAGCTCAGTGCGGGGTAATCTACGAAGTCCTGTGCAGAAAACCAGGATTTCCTCAGATTTATGTGCTGATAAAAGCTTTATTCGAGAAGTATCAACATGAAACAGGAATCTCCCGCTAGAGAGTTAAGAGGTGCAGTGGATTGCTCTCCACATTAATGCACAAGAGGTTTTGGTCAGCACAAGCATTCTTGGGGGCTTTGCGCTTGCTAGTAATTGGTCTTTTGAGTTTTTGGCAAGCTCACATATGGAATTTTAATTTGCAATGTGGAAACTGACTTGTGCAGTATCAGCTAGGATGAAAGCTGTTGCAAGGACCTGGGGAAGTCTGTTCCTTTTCTGGCCACGTCAAAGGTAAGAAAAATGCAGTAAAAGGCTTGAACCACACCCATGAAAATTTTGGTGAAACTTTCTCTCTCCTTTAGGCTTTTAAATGCAGGATTTGAAGCACCCACATATCCCTGGAGGCCGGTCCCCATGTGCTCCTGGAAACTGACAAATACTGTATTCTTCGCTCTATAAAACGCACCAGACCACAAGACGCACCTAGTTTTTGGAGGAGGAAAACAAAAAAAATATTCTGAATCCCAGAAGCCAGAACAGCAAGAGGGATTGCTGCGCAGTGAAAGCAGTAATCCCTCTTGCTGTTCTGGCTTCTGGGATAGCTGCGCAGCCTGCATGCGCTCCATAAGACGCACACACATTTCCCCATACTTTTTAGGAGGGAAAAAGTGAGTCTTACAGAGCAAAAAATATGGTAGTTGGTGGTAACAAGTGAAAGGACTTTCTTTTTTAGGAGTGGTCCCTCATTTATAGCGTATAGTCCCAGGACTCACCCGATGCTTTCAATAAAGGTCTTCAGCTGCAGGCAAACATCTTCATACTCTTATAGGCTTTTAAAAATCAGATTCTTTTACCTCTCTCTCTCTCTGCAAGGTGGGTATTTTTGCTCTTTGGGGAGGCAGGTTTGTGGTGCCAGACCTTCCAGTCAGCTACAATTGTGCAACCTAAATTTGCCAATTGTAAAGGACAAGACAGAAATAGAAGTAACTCTGTCTTATGTTGTTTTAATGCTGCTTTTACAATTGTACGTTTGTCTTGTATAGTTCTGTTATATGCTGAGCAACGTTCAGGGAAAGTTAAGCTATTGATTGGTTAATACGATAAGCAAAGATGTAGATGGCTTCAAATCCCTTTGTTTTTCTGCCTGTCTACTTGAAGGCTGGGAGACACACATGTCTGCAACAGCCAGGAGCCTCCAGACAGAGGGAGCTTCCAGACTATCGTTATTTTTGAGTGGGATCCAACAAAATATTGGCAAATTTAGGTTGCACAATTGTAGCTGACGGGAAGGTCTGGCACCACAAACCTGCCTCCCCAAAATATCAGACTTTATGGGTAAGCCAAGTGGCCAGAAAACGTACTGCAAAGTGTGGTAAAACAGTTGCTTTGACGCAACATCATCGAACCTGCCCACAAACAAATCAGAATGAATGCTCAATAAAAACAGGTTGCTTTGGAAGCACATAGAATCTACTGGAGGCAAGGAGAATCGACAGGCTTTTATAGTGTGCATAAATACAGGTTGCATCAACTAAATGTTAAATAAGGAGAGGAATAGTTTTGTGGTAAGAGTAGCTTGCCTGGTGGAGTGGAGCAGCAGAAATAGCCTCCAGGGCAATAAATAAATAAAACTCACCTCTCCACTTCCCATCTTCCCTTCTAAGGTGTAGATACCAGAGAATACAGAGTTTGTGATCACATTTTTATTTCATTTGGGGCAACGGTAAGGCCTCACAGGCTGGGGCAGTGCCCCAGATGAACTTTGCATATGCCTGAAGATGCTTCAAAATCCTTTGCAACGCAAAAGGACAGCTTGGAAGACAAGCCATTGTGTGTTCCCTGAAAGTAGAGAGTTTGGAAATCATTGTTTTGAAAGCTGACACGCACAAGGTGTTTGAAGGATGCCTTCATTCCAACTGACTCACAGACATGGGAACTTTGCTGTCTGATCTATCAAAACCAACCTTAGTACCATTTCGATGAGGTTCCTCTGGCACTGATCTGGCCTCCGTTATAGAAGGAATCAGCATGGGAAGGGGGCATATATATATATATGCATAACTTCAAGGCGACGGGTTTAAATAAATAGCCATTCAGCCTAACGAAAGCAAAGGCATTAAACTATTAAGCAAGCTAAAAATTAATTAAACTAAATCCCACTAACACTGCGGAAGCCTTAAGGAGGAGGAATAATAACTCAGCGCACACAGAAAATAGAATCTGAAACATTTTAATTGCTTGTTGATGCAGAGGAATGTGGGGGAAAAATTGCTTTCTGAGGTCAGCCTTACACACAAACTCCCCTCTCTTTGCTGTATTTAAAAGCCACTTTCAAAGCAGCAGGTAACATGCATTTAAAATGGGGTATATGACGTGGCGCAATTAAATACACTTATCTGCCGATAAAAGATGGAGAGAAAGAAAAAGCACCAGGACTTGCTGGCCCTTCTAAAACGAAGCTCATCTGCGGCAAGGGTGGGGTGGGGAGGGAGAAGAGAAAATGACTTTGTCGTGACCAGCTTTCTATATCGCATCATGCTCTAAGGGCCGGGGTCCATCTCGCAGCACGCCACTTTGAAAGCAGGATGCTTCTGCTCTGCAAAAAGCCCACTTCACACGGCCAGCTTGTTGGCCTGGGTGAGGACCACTTTGAGCACCGGCATGAAGGCGGACGTCTCGCTGAAGTTGCTTGTGCTGACTATGTGGGTGTGGATGTTCAGCCCCTCCGTGTAGTTCCGTGTTTCGATGCTTCTGGCGATGTTGTGCAAACCGTTGATTATCGTCGGGGAGAGCTGGAGGGAGGGGGAGAGAAAACACAATTGAGAAGGTAGCCTTTTCACAGAGATATCTGGGAACCCCAACCTGACGCCACTCCAGCATTCTTGGCCCCAAGCACTCCACTCTGAGTGGAGTGGCCAAATGGCCACTGGAGAAATCTGTCCTCATCAATGGTTGCGGTATTATTATTTTACATGACTTCACAAAGGAAGATGAAACTGGGGCAAGCAAACAACTTCTTCCAAGGACAGCTGCGAGCACCAATGGCAACAGGTTGGTGCAAGGCAGTAGCAGCCCCTTCCCCCCCTTTCCTCCAGCAGGAAATTCCCAAACTTGGGTCTCTAGCTGTTGGTGGACTACAATTCCCATCATCCTTGACCACTGCTAGCCAATTCCCATCATCCTAGACCACTGCTAGGAGTTGTAGTCCAACAACAGCTGGAGACCCAAGTTTGGGAAACCCTGCTCCAGGGCATGTGGAACGGTGTGTCTGCCTCTCCTGCCCTGCCTAGCCAAGACCTCAGAATGTTGCCTCCTGCGCCACTACAGGACTTCCCCAACCCACATGATGGAACCCATATGGAGAGCATTTCTGGTAGAGAATGAAATGCCGTTCTGGATGATGCATCAGCTGGAGATTGGAAGCAGATACTTTTTACAAGAGTTGGCTTTTTTTGTGCTGTGACACCACCAGCATCTGCACAAGTGAGGAAGCAGCTATGTGCAATCTGTCTATTCAGAGTCAGCATGACTCCCAATAATGACCGGTGCTGTAGGCCAGGGATGGGGAAACTCTGGCCCTACAGATGTTGCTGGACTCCAACTGGGCCATGTTGGCTGGCCCAGGTTCCGCAATACACAGAAGTCATCCCTTGGGCTCCTCTTACTCTGCTCGGCCACTGTAGGGACAGAACGCTGAAATAGATATATAGACTTCTTACATCTGATCTGGCTTGGGGATTTCTGATGCTGTTTAAAGGGGGCTGACGGTTTTAAGCACTGTCTTGGGATTCCCAGGAGCCCAACACAGCGTTCAGCCTGATCTTACCACATGCTCCATTTGTCAGATTGTTTAAACAGCCAGCTGCCACATACAAAGCTACCTTCTGGTGTCATCGCTTCAAAAACGGATTCCCAAATCCTACCCAGGAAGTGCATTTACTTATTCTGCGAAACACTGCAGACCCATCTTATAGCACAGGAATTATTTCTAGCTAACAAATAGTTTTTAAAAGCGGGAAAACAATGCAAAAATAAATAAGGAAGGCTGGGGAACGATCTGAAGGAAGCAGTTCAGCTGCTGAAGTTTAGAATGGCTGGCTTGGAGGTGAAATGCGAGGAAGATAATCTGAGCATGGCAAAGCATAATGCACAATGATAAATAAAGCTTACTGTCTGATCTCTAAGTTTATCATACAGAAACTCCAGGCGTTTGTTGGCATCGTCAAGTTTCCTCTTGGTTTGCTACAGAAGAGACCAGAACATAGGAAGTCGTTAAACAAGCTCATCAAATTTTATCAATGCTCAACCAGCACGCACACATAAACTGTTAGGATATAGTTCCGTTCCACCTTAAAAGGAACAGGCATGACTGTTGTGTGTCACATGCCTGTTTACTTCCAGCACAGGCTCGCTGGGAACTTCTGTTTTGTATATTGCTTTTGCTTTAGCTGTTTTACTGGACACGAAGGGAAGCAGACATGTTTTTTTTTCCTTTGTTCATGCTGCTGAATAAAATGCTGTAAATTATGCCTGTTGTGCGAAGATTTATTCGCTCTGATAGAGCGTGCACAAGTCTCTAAACATATCTGAGGCTTGTGTCGCTGTTTGATGCTGTTCCAAGGGAGACCGGTGATCGCCTGGCTGCCGGCCAGTGGTGGGAGCCAGCTGGGGGCCTTCCTGATGCCCCCGCCTCCCCGGCAGTATTCCAACATAAACATACATACGAATTAGTATGTACTTTGATGTGCCTCCTAAGCATGGGGGAAGTTCCTCCCCAAGTAGGATTCAACTCCCCACACATCAGCTGATGCACATGCAGGGGGTGTCAATCCTACTTTAGGCAAGGCTTTGGCGCACCAGCTGGTTCCAGCAGTTGGCTGGCACACCTGAACGAAGCAGGATTGAACCTCCCCAGGCATCAACTGATAATGGGTTCAGTCCTTCTTTCTGTGGCCAAGCATCTACCTGCCCCATATCCCAAGTCACATATGACATAAGGTGTGGGGCAGGTGGGCGTCGTTTCATGAAAATGACCAGGCAGGCCAGTTTTGGAGGTTCCCAACCTTTGGTCCAGGAGGTTCAGAGCAGCAGGTTGCACAAGCAAAGTTGTTTATGTGGGACTGCACAGAGGGCACACAGAACTGCTGGCTTTGAGGTAGAAAGGAAGGTGCTCCTCAGTCGAGTCTGAATCACAATATCTTCCTGAGAGAGCTGTGTCCTTGAAGATGAAAGTAAGAACCCAGCACTCAGCTTATGGAAGGTGGTTCTGCTACTGTCAACCAACAGGACACGCTCCTGTGTCTTCCCTACCTCCCTGTGTTGAATCAAAGGTGAGCTATCTTGTTATCTTGGTAATCAAGATAACTACCACAATTAATTGGTAGTTGCAGCAATGAGCTCATATACGTTTATATTCACTTGCTGTGATATACGCAAACTGGCTTGCTTTGATGTCATCATCTGTGGGGTTTGGGTGCTGGGCTCTGGGCCCAGTAAAGGGAACTATCTGTAAGATTTGGGAATTTGCCACCGATACCCTCATCTGGTCAGGTGAAGTGATGGGAAGTCCTGGCAAAGTGGTGTATGTTGCTTTGTCTATAAAAAACATATGCACATTTGCTTGGGTGCAAACAAGCCATCTCCTTGCTGCAGAGTCCATCCCGTGTCTGTAAAGGCTGGGAGACCTGGCAGGCTGGTCTGCTGTAAGTCTACACTAAAACGCAAGAACTAGTTACAGGTAGGTAGCCGTGTTGGTCTGCCGTACATGAAACAAAATTTAAAAAATCCTTCCAGTAGCACCTTAGAGACCAACTAAGTTTGTTATTGGTATGAGCTTTCGTGTGCATGCACACTTCTTCAGATATCTCTTTGACATCCTTCTTTGGTATCCCTGGACCCAACCACTCCCACAAGCCTGCCTTTGGGCCTGTGGTTCAGAACGCTCCCCCAGACTAAAATGACAATATAGACTTGCATTCCACAGAGTCAGGCCACAAGCCCATCTGCAGCTCCCACCATTGTTCACTTGCAGCTCTCCATGGTGCTGAATCCTATTTCGGCCGTGTCTGCAAAACATTCATTTTTTGCCGCCGTCCTCTGCGTTTGCAAGGTCTTCTTGAACCATTTGGATAGGGGGAGAAGCACTTATCTTAATTCGAGTCGCCCGCAAGGGAAGACAGCCTAAGATTATGCTCTCCCATTGTGTAAATCACACAGTAACTGCAATTTTTCTGATAGGCTGAATATCTGAAGCACTTGGCGAGAGCCTAGCTGCTGGTGATAAATCGTTTCTGATGACTCACCACACAGTGATGGATGCCACCAGCTCTGAATGTGTGATTGCACTACATAAAATGCATTTTTTTATATAAAAACACCACCACCAAAACACAGAAACACATGAAGGACATACCGGATCGGTAGCTGAAGAGAGACACCTCTGGATCAGAGCTTCAAATGTATTCTTTAGGATAAGGTGTTCCTCAGGTATGGGCTTTTTCATGATCTTCTCTGTTGGCAAGGATTGCACATGCTAGAGGGGAAGGAAGAGTAATTTGGAATATCGCTTTGTCATCATTTGCTCCCAGTCTTTTTACTCCAGGGGAACCGTATGTTAGTAAAGTCACTTAAATAACACAATGGAATGCAGAGGGAAGGTCTTGATACTGAGGAAGCGAAATAAAAAGAGTGTATGATTTGAGGAGAAAGGGAGAGAGAGGATTTCACTTCCAGTTCAGGCCTTGTTTAGGGCATGGAGACATTCCATCAAAAACATACAAAGGGAAAACTCCCGCAGAACTACACAGCCTATCAGAGCATGTGCTACTCCACTAGAAATCATGCTGTTCTGCCTGATTGCTAAGCAACACTTCCACTCTTCTTACTGGTAACACAATTAACCCTTAAGTTACAAACTGAATGATCCTTTCTGTTGCACTTCCAAGACCACAATCAACATTTTCCTGGCAACTCACTTCCCATATATCATTTTCTATCCCCTCTCCCTTTATATTTTTACATTCATATTCCATCATGGAACCCAAGTCAATGGACATGCAGCTCCCAGGTGGTCTCCGATTCAGGCACTGAGCAGACTCAGACCTGCTTAGCTTCAGCAAGGTGGTGGCACTGTGTTCCTACAGTCAATAACCTCTCTTTAATATCCACCCTGGGCCAACTGTCCAGTGACAAAGAAAGTCCAAGGCCAAGAGACTCTTGTTTCTATACACCTACCAATGTGCTGCCCTTTAATGGTACCTGCCAAATTTGCCGCTTAATGCTGAAGCAGCCCTGCTAATCGTGCCTTAGCATAAAACCCATTCACGCTGGATTCCCTCTTACCACAGGATAAACAGGTGTTTAGAGTCCATATTTCTGCACCCTTGAAAGATTTTGGGACAGGGAAAGCAAATGCTAACCTTTGCCTAAACATCAGTAAGATCTAAATCAAATGAAACGGGCAAATTCTGCCTGCCTCAACAATGCTGCTCCAAATGAGCCAACGTCTCTCACCGCATAGCAACCCACCCACAAGGCTCTCACGATCATTTGCCAGTCATTTGCTTTCAAAGACAATCCCCCAAGTCAAAAGGCTGATTGTTTCTTCAGGCAGGACCCCGCAGACCTCCCACTGAGCAAGTGGGAGAAGAAACAACCAGCCGTTCAGAAATTCAACAGCTGCCTGTCCAGGCGACATGGCTGCTACCACATCAGGCATAGAGGGGATCCAACCAGAATTCAGGGGTCGGCAAGGTTTTTGTGGCTTGGGCCGGTTCACGGTCCCGCAGACGCCTCGGAGGGCTGGAGTGTGTGTGTGCGCACACACGCACGAACACTATTTCCGGCACTCCTTCTGGCGCGGAGAAGGCGTGCGCAGCTTCCCATTGGCTGCAGGAGCTTCCTGCAGCCAATGGGAAGCCGGACAGCGTCGCGGAAGGCGGTCCCCGCTCTGCTCTGCGCCAATTTAGCGCACGGGAGCTGACCCAGCGGGCGGCAAGGGTCCATGGGCCAATTAAATGACTCCAATGGGCCGCTTGGTTGTCGACCCCTGAACCAGAAAATGGCCTCCCTGTCTGTGAAGTGAGGTGGTGGTGAGATAACTGCAAGACGGACCCCTCGTCTTGTAGCAATGGATGGCGCAACCTAACAGGACATGTGTAAAGAATCTCTGGCCTGCCAGATGTGGCTGAACTATGACTCCCATCAACCCCTGCAAGTATGGCCAATGGTCAGGCAGGACAGGAGCTGTAGTTCAGCAAGACCTGGAGGTCCAAAGGTTCCCCACATCTGTGCCAGGTGGCAAAATGCAAGGGATGCTGGCCTGGTGAGGGAATCTTCTCAGGAGTGAACACGTTCTCTCTCATTCCACCTCAGACAAGCGTTTCAGGGCCAAAGGTAACCCCCTACTGCCCAGGCTGCACTCTTTCCCTCTCACTCCACTGTCAATCTCAATGAAGACGTAAGAACAGATGCTCAATTAGATCAAAGGTCTGACTTCTGATTCTTCTGGTCATTTTAGCCATTTCGGGATAATCCATCAACTTGATCTCTGCCATTCTTCTCTGGTAGGAAGAATCAGGAAGACCAAATTTTTAATAAGGAATGGGGGGAATTGTTATAACTGATCTTAAAAACCATTGTGAATAACACTTGTAGTTTAATGGTGAATTTTGGACACATTGGAGATGTAAAAGATCTGGATTCTCATAAAAGATGCAGGAGGAGGTGATTAACAACAGGACCCACAAAGAGGAGAAGGGAAGTCCAGGAGATTCTCTGGAATCTTGTTTCTATGTTGTATGTTGGCTATGTGACTGTAAAACTTTAATCTGAAAACCAAATAAATTTACACAACTAGATCAAAGGTCTGTCTACAGCCCAGCATCCTGGTTTCACAATGACCAACCAAAACGCTCATGGGAAGCCTACGAGAAGGACATGAGTGCAAAGGTACTCTCACGTGGCCTAGCAACCACCTCTGATACTGGAGGGAATGTGGTTATCGTGAGTAGCGACCATCGATAACCTTCCCCTCTACAAATTGGTCTAGTCCCCTTTTAAAGCACCCATCTCTAAATGTTGTGGCAAATGCCATCGTTCAACTCTGCCTCTGGGCTGCCCTCTCCTCCAGCCTCTGCTTCACCCTCAAAGTCTGAACTGTTCTCTGCCCTAGCCTCTTCCTGCTCACTAAAGCCTGTCACGTCTTCAGCTTCCGACACCTCCTCCCCCCAAGTCTTGTCCCTCTTCTCCCTCTGACCACTCATCGTCATCCCAACACCAATTGCCTGGCCCTGAGCATCCTTCCTGTCAGAGGGTGGTGTGGTTGCTCGAGAGCAAACAGGCAAGACTCTGACCTGTCTTTTCCAGGCTTTATTCTTAATGCAAAACTATTTACAGTGAAGAGCGTCGCAAGTTCATGGCTCAGTCGCTAGCAGAATCTGGGAGTGGTCGGTCCTTGTACCTCCCCCAGCGTAACAGTCGCTTGACCCCCAACCTTCTCCCCTCCCTGCGCCGAAACCTCCTGCGCAGAGTGGCCGCTGGCAAAGGGGTACTTCCCTCTTCTCCGGCTTGCTCAGGGTCGGTGTTGAGGCTCTCTCTAGCATCCCCTGGTTCCACCACCTCCTCTCCACTGGAGGTGGGGCTTTCCTCCTCGCCAGAGGAGGAACTACTTCGCAAGACTTCCGGAGGTTCCCAATAACACAACTGCCCTTCCACCTCTCGCCTCTGAGCTGATGGCAGTTCCCTGACACTTCCCCTGGGGGTTCCCTAGGGCAGTGATGGCCAAACTTGGCCCTCCAGCTGTTTTGGGACTACAATTCCCATCATCCCTGACCACTGGTCCTGTTAGCTAGGGATGATGGGAGTTGTAGTCCCAAAACAACTGGAGGGCCAAGTTTGGCCATCCCTGCCCTAGGGGGTTCCACGGCTGGTGCCTCCCACCACTCCTTGGCATCCAGCTGGCCCAAGACACCAGGCCACTAGCTCTTACCTGCATGGTGTTGCCAATCGGCGCTCCAGGCGCCCCTTCCATGCTGGGCATGGACACGGAAGGAGTCATGATGGTATGGCCCCCAGGTTGTGGGGCGTTCTGGAAAGAGCTTGGCATGCTAGGTTGGCCTGGAGGAAGATGCGAGGGCTGGAACGGAACCTGGGCAGGAGGCATTGCTGACTGCTGCTGTTGTTGCTGCTGCTGCTGCAGCTGGGCTTGAGGGTCCGACATGGGGTTCATTATCGGGGCTGTGATGGGAACCGGAGGCAGGAAGTTCTCAGGCATCTAAGGCAGAGGAAGGAAAAGAAGAGCTCACTCGAGTTCTTATGGCAGCAGGTGTGTGTGATAAAATTAGGCAAGAGTAGGAAATGATATTTGCTACCACTGTTTTGAGGGCTGTTCACCTATCAAAGGTTATTTCAGTTCCTTGTTTGCTGGGCATTCAATCATTAAATCAGCCTCTGCTAGCCTGACGTTTCGGACTACAATTCCTATCAGCCCTAGCCAGCAATTTAGCTAAGTTTAAAGGCGTTCTTTTTGAGGCCAAGCGTCATTCATGTATAACTTGCTGTTAATTTTTCCATGCTGCGCCAGTCTTTCATAAACTGAAATGCGTTCGCAAGCCATCTGATAATAGTTTTAAAACAAATCCAAGGAAATTTTTTTTAAAAAAAATTATTTATGCTTTTCAGGTTTATAGATTTCACTAATTTTACAATCATTTTAACATTTCAAAACTTGACTTCCTTCCCCCTCTTGCGGCAGTTCCTTAAATTTATTTTAAGTATCTTCTGCATATTCTAATTAAAGTCATTTGCTCATTCATTCATCTACTTTAAATATAAACTCTTATAAAACTGCAAGTTATTACAACAATCCTGCCAATGTTCTTATCTGTTTACAATTTATCTGTAAATATTCAATAAACCATTTCCATTCTTTTTTAAAAATTTTGTTATCTTGATTTCTTATTCTTCCGGTAAATTTCACAATTTCTGCATATTTCATAAGTTTTTAAATAGATTCTTGTATTTATTCCATACTGTATACAATTTTTCCTAATTATATGATTTCTAAATCCTTTATGAACTTTCACCTTTTCATACCATATATAAGTGTGCCAACCAAAAATATTGTCATGACCTAAGTGTAGAATATGTGAATTTTCTAATGTTATCCATTCCTTCAACCAGCAAAGATAGGATGCCTCATAATATAGTCTCATATCCGGCAGGGAAAAACCTCCTCTTTCTAAATCCAAGAGATCTTAATCTCTTGAGTCCTGTCTTGCCTACTGGGGCAATTAAAAACCTCATTTTGGGGATCAGGGAGGATAACAACACACAGGCTAAGATAACCCTCTCTCTGGTTGCCACCTTTGATCGCAGGGACACCTGGGGAAGGGCCTTCAAAGTCACTCTCAGCACATCAGAAGTTCCTTTTAACCTACCTTCTTTTTCTTTGCAATTCTGCTCAAAGCAGGAGGGTCGTTCCAGCCATTCTGAGGTCCTGCAACAAGACCAAACAATATCAGTGGAATGTAAAGCGTCCCAGAAAATCAGGAGGGGCAAATTTTGCCACATTCTAACTAGAGGCTACCATTTCATCGGAATCTAGAAATTTCAGAGAGGGGATGAGCATGTTCTGTATTTGAAATAGGAATGCAAAGAACGCAAAAACCCACATCTGCCTTCATAGCTTTTGGCCCAATTCCCTTGCTCCTCCTCCCCAGCGGGAACTCAACTCAACTAGTTGCTCCTATATTTGTGCATGTTCTGCCTCCACTACCAGAATGCAGATTGCAAGCCCCACGAGGGAAGGACCTACCCTGTGGGTTTATACTACCTGCAAAGCTTTATGTAAATTGACAGCACAATATTCCAGTTACGATTAACATTCATTACAGCGCTCTTTGTCAATCTGGCATGGATTTGCAAGTACAATTAGCATAATCACATATATTTGTTATTTATTGGTACATATTTATACGGTCATTGACATTTCTATCATTGGGCTAACGAAGAAAATCTGAAATTTCAGAGATTTGTTTCGGACGTTGTTAGCAACAGACACCACTTTGGAATACTATATTGCTGCTCGGGGAATGCAGCATTTTGCCGCTTCTGGGGTTTTAAATGCTGATTGATGCCCCAAAACGTTTCTAACTGAGAATGATGTGCTGGCCACCGTTTGTCAAAATATATGCCTCTACTGGTTCGCCCTGCAAGGCTGGGCCTTCATGGTGATGAAACAAGGAAGATGCTTTGTATTGATTTGGACAAACACAGTTGCTTAGGCTGGGAAGCTTCCCTTACACCAGGTGTGGTGACACTTCCCTGCCTGAGAGCCATATTCCTTTCTGGGGAAGCTTCCAGGGGCCACATAACAGTGGCGGTCAAGGCCAGAGGCAAAGCAGTAGATGTCAATTTACCTTTGGACAGGAGGCCAGTTCCTACAAGCGCTCGCTCACACAACTCTCTACCCTCCATCAATGCAAGCAAGAGGCATGATCAGAGTTGAAGGACACATTCCAGCCATGCAAAAACACTGGAGGAGGATGTGAAGCAAGGCCGGCGAGGGTTGTGGTCTGGGTGGAGTGCCAAGGGCCAGACAAAGCCTTGAAGGGCCACATTTGTTTGGCCCACGGGCTGGAAGTTCCCTGCCTCTGATCTACCACTGACTGGCAGGAGTCCTTGACCACCTGGAGGTGCAGAGGACTGACCTTCTGCATACGAACTTTACCCCTGGGCACCGCCCTTCCCAAAGGGCAATGGATTTCGCACTGGGAGAAGGATGATTAAATCTGGGGACACGCCTGTGCTATTTGCATTAATAAAAAGTCTTAAGGACATGTATTCAGATATGCAATGGGCAAAACCATTAGTTGGTTAGAATGTAACTGGGTCTGCTGAAGACAGCAGTGAATCTTTTCGAGCCTAGGTTCCCGCATAGCTGTAGTTTTGCTAATGTTAGGATTAAATCAGCAACTGGTAGCAGAGAGATGGCAGGTTTAGATCTTCACCGCCTATCCTCTCCAGCGCAGACCACTGAAAAAGACAACCAGCTTTTGCAGCACAGATATCAGGAGGGAATCAGTAATTCCTGGTAACCCATAAATCCACAGCAGCGTCAACATTTAAAAAAACAAAAAACGGTTTGGATCAAAACTGGTAAAAATTGGAAACAACAAAGCTGCTGTGAACATGCTCATTTTAGTCACTTAATTAAGTTTTGCTGCTGCTTGGCAGGAAGCCTGTCTCGCAGAGGGAGAGTGCGCTGCCACAGATCTTGCCGCTTGAATTCATAATCACTAACTGGGGAGTAGAGTAACAACGGCTGCCTGCTACTGAGCCTCATGGGCTAGGGAGCTAAAATGCAGGGAGCGCCCTGCGTTTGCAGTGCCAATTACTGTGCTTCCCTGGAAAAGAGCAGCTTCGCTCATAAAAGCGCTCCGTCCAGGAAACCGATAGCTCAGTTGGTTAGAGGATGGTGCCCATAACGCCAGAGTTGCAGGTTTGATCCCCGTTTGGGAAACTTCATATTCCTGCACTGCAGGCTAGATGATCCTCAGGGATGAAGTTCATTACAATATGTTTGCTGTATCCTGATCACTAACTGCAATATTTTAATCGCACTTACTACATTTTTATTTTAAATTCTATGGCAGGCATAGGCAAACTCGGCCCTCCAGATGTTTTCTTCTTTTATTATCTTTAATTATTAATATTATACAGTATTACAGAAGGTTTTACAAACATAATGACCCAAATACAGTCAAGAGCATATCTCATATGTTTTCAATTGTCTTCACAAAACCCCTTGTTTTGCTCTTCATTAATATTATTCTCCTTCTTTAGATTCCATCATTTTGACCTCTTAAGTCATATATATATCCTGGCCCTCCAGCTGTTTTGGGACTACAATTCCCATCATCCCTGACCACTGGTCCTGTTAGCTAGGGATCATGGGAGTTGTAAGCCAAAAACATCTGGAGGGCTGAGTTTGCCTATGCCAGTATCAGTAAACCGCTCAGAGATTTTACTTTTGCAAAGAAGAAGAGAAAGATAAGTGGCAAATAAATCATCTAAATAAATAAAAAAGCTATGAACCTGTCCGGACAAAAGTGTCCAGCTGGGCCTCTGAACACACATTGATGTTATCGTCTATTGGCAAGGGCTTCCGAATAAGCCTTATTGAAAATGAATGAAAGCAACACTGAGTGTGAATTCAGAATCAGTAGCTACAGATGTTCCTGGTGGAAATTTGCTCTGGCTCAAGAGTATGCAGGGACCTCACCTGCCCCAACAAACATGCTTAGGGGGACAGCTTAATTGGGATCTTCTGAACTGATCTGAACTTTAGGGCCACTCAAGTAAAATAAAAAGTAATGCAGATTTGTTACACAACACCGATAGTTAATCAAAAATAATCACAGCTGGAGTTTTTAACCACAGTGCTATAATTTTCTTTTATAAAACTGCAGCTCCCATTCTCTTAAAATCTAGGATTAACTCTGTTTCCTTGAGAAATTTGGATTCCCATGGCTCTGCAGCTCATTTGCAACTAAGGGCAAGAAGGTAAGTGTGTACTGGGCACAGGATATCACTTTCTGTGAATCTTGGCGTTGTTTCTTTTCCAAAGGAAGATTCTAGTTCTCATGACTATAGAAAATATACGTTGAGAGTGTGGGGATAACGATCGCTCAAATCTTGGAAGCTAGCAGGGTTTCTGATTAAGATTTCTAGCAATCAAGGCTAGGCAGGGAGAACTTCAGTGTTCTTCACAGCTCTTTCTCCCTTCCCAGGACTAACTAAATCATATTTTTTAAAAGGCTGAAAGTTGAAGGATAAATTAGGCGAAATAAGAAAAACAAAGGAGAAGAGAAATATTTGCTGTTAGCATTTCAACTTTTTCTCTTCCCTCCCCCCATGAGCAAGTCTCTCACCTGGGAATCTGAGAGACCCTGGTGAAGACCAACACTTAACCCCTAGAGATCTTGGGATGTGGTGCCAGGCCAAATTAGAGGCCCCCTGCCTATGTCCCTGATGCTATTGTTTGAGGCTGAGTTTGCTCTTCCTTCTATTAACCAAAAGGAAGAACTGCAGGTAGACATCTTCACAACCCCTGCAATTCCTCATCTTTTCCATCAGTGCAAGCAGGTAAAGGTAAAGGGACCCCTGACCGTTAAGTCCAGTCCTGGACGACTCTGGGGTTGCGGCGCTCATCTCGCTTTATTGGCCAAGGCATACAGCTTCCAGGTCATGTGGACAGCATGACTAAGCCGCTTCTGGAAAACCAGAGCAGCACACGGAAACACCGTTTACCTTCCCGCCGGAGTGATACCTATTTATCTACTTGCACTTTGACGTGCTTTCAAACTGCTAGGTTGGCAGGATCAGGGACCGAGAAACAGGAGCTCACCCCGTCGCAGGGATTCGAACTGCCGATCTTCTGATCGGCAAGTCCTAGGCTCTGTGGTTTAACCCACAGTGCCACCCATGTCCCAAGCAACCAGGAGGCAGCTTACAAACAGCTTATGCAAATCTGTTCGATCTGCACAAGTTAAGCAAATGATTCTGGATTTTTTTGGACACAGAACTTGGATTGATTAGGTGCAATTTCTTTTAACGTTCTATTGGAAAGTGCAGAATACACACGCCCTGATTTTAAGGATAGTTGCAACTATTTGGAAGATTGTATAACTGTCTTCTCAGCTTTTCTGAACATGAAAGGCAGCTGTCCTGTTTGTGCAAAAGACTGCTTCAAAAATTATAGTGCAGACCATGGAAATTAACATTTCAGAGCGTTGCTCCTCTCCCAATGAATGCAACAAACATCTGTTTTGGAAGTTGATCACATCTGTGGTTATAAATCCCAGCTCTGCTATTTGAGTCAAACCATTTGTCTCCATTAAAATGTTACCGAGTGTTAAATTTCATTGGATTTAACAAGTATTATTAGCACAAAGTATTGAATTTGCGGTCACATGCACTGCTAGAGTCCAATTTGTTAGATGTTCGTGCTGTGCCTTAATGATTTCCATTTTATAAAAGGTAGCTAAGTCACCTTGCAGGATACTGGCTTGGTCTTGTATGGATTGATAGTCTGCAGACAAAACGCAAAAAAACCTCAGGAGCAATTTAAAAGGAGGAAAAAAAGATACACCACCTTCCCATTACCAGCTTTTTCCAAGCTTTGCATGTGCTGGAAAACACCTTCTAAGGTTTCAAGAACAGATTTCAAGCGGCCGCTCTTACTAATAATCTTCACTCCCAGTTTAGCCATGCAGCCCCAGAGTTTGCCTAAGCAGCAAAGAACAAGACACCTTCCCCAAGGAAATGCACTCAGTATCCACAACCTCCTCACTAAGAAAACCTAGAGGAGTTTCTAAGAACTGTGGGGTTCTCAGAGAACTCAATTTGAATAGCTGCTGGTGAAGAGGCTTAAGGCCTGCAAGGCCTGGTTCCAAATTCTTGGTTCCAAAGTCCTGTTTAGTGATGTGAGGTGAGAATATTCTCCACAAACTATAAGTTCTAATGTAAGAACCAGTTTTACAACCCACATTTAAAATACCTAGTAAATAATAAATCATGCTGTGATATTTCCAGTGTAAGTAATGAATTTTTTTTTTTGATCCAGTTACATTACTGGGCATTGTGTCATTCACCATTGGCAGTTCTGAAATGTAAGCTGCAGAAACCTTTTTTTCTTCTTCTTTTTTTAGTTTTAAAAATGCTATTCATTTAATTTGATGAACATTTGAATTCCTATGCATTTCAACTGTATGTAATAGGCTTGGTGAGTAACATGAGTCATTCACGCTGAATTTTCAATTTCAAGTTTGGTGCAAAAAAAAAATCAAAGAATGTGAATTCACTGCATTGCCCCACCAAATAAAAGTATCTTTACAGTTTTTGGTTGCCATCTGAACAAGTTTACCCATGAATAAACATGTATATTAACGAATTATATCATTTTCAATGCGTTAAAATGAATATTCTCCTATTTTAAATGAAAATTCTCTAATATTCTCATTAATTGAGAACATTCTCCAAAAGATTATTCTCGAGAATTTAACATCACTAGTCCTGTTCATCAAAGAGAAAATGGGATATCCCTGCAAAAACAGGGATGGGGTAGGCATGGTCCTCTAGTTGTCTGGACTCCAACAGTCAGGGATGATGGGAGCTGATGCTCAACATCTAGAGGACCACATCTGTTTTAAGAGTTCAGCTGTGAGCCGAACATGGAAGCTACTCCCATTAGTCCACAGCACTCTTTGCAAGGCACCCTGGGACACGTTGTATTTCTTGAAGTGAACTCAAAAGTACTCTAACCCATTTTTCTACCAGGAAAGGGGAACCGTCTTAAAAGTCTGTAAAAGGCAGCTGCTGTGTATCTAACGCAATTTCATCCAAAACTGTAATCTGTAATAGCCTTGCTCGCTTCATACCCATGTCATCATAATAATAATAATAATAATAATAATAATACTACAAAGTTTTGGTCCCTGACAAAAGCTTTGTGTCTTCCTGTTATGCTTATTTGCATTTTATTTTCAAGGAAAGGAAAGCTGAAGAAAAAAGTTGAATGACACCGATAAAGAAACAGGTCTGTTATCATGCACCCATAGCTGCTCAAGACAAAAAAAATTAACAAAAGCAAGTTCACAGTTCTCTCATTTTGGGCCAAACGTTCTTGTGTCATGCTAACACACATGCAGACGCAAATGTCCCAGACATGCTTGTTTAGTTCATGCGAGAAGAAAAACATACCTTTGAAGGGTTTCTAAATTGCTTCAGCGATATCGAGTCTCACCTTTAGTGAACAACTGTTACCCCCCCCCTTACTGGTGCCAATTCCAATGGAAAAACTTCAGCTAACAATGAATATAAAGGGCTGGAGTATTGATATAATAGGTCAGCGGCCAATACGTTTTGTTCTGGTTGGAATTATGGCATTATGTTTATAAGGTATGCTCTGATTTAAGTTTCCAGAATTACTACCATTATTATTTTAAAGGAACAGGTTGCCCCCCCCCAAATGTCCCCAACCTTGGGTTTAAAACAAGAACCCTGGTCCATGCTCTCCTGAAACCATCTCAAAGCTTGCTAATGGAATAATCTTTGTTAAGAAGTGAGAAATAGAGCACCAAGAGGCTCCTTCCCACATCATGGCTACCTGCCTGTTAGGGATTCTGGCTCCCAATGGGCAACAGCGGTTGCTCCCATGCCACTTCAGGGAAGTATAAGGCTTCCTGTACTTACACACTTCCATAAATACAAATGTTTGGTCTGTGCAGCGCCGCTGTAGCTTTGCAGGTTTTCCAGAGTGGCACAGGTGCAACTGCAGTGGTAAGCAGGTAAAGTGACCGTATCTTAGGAGAGTCATTGTGGTGTAGGTGTTTAATTGCTGGACTCTTGGGCTGCAAAGACCTGGGTTCAAATCCCCGCTCCGTTCTGAAGTTCACTGGGTGAATGTGGGCCAGCCACTATCTCTCATCCCTGAGCTCTGGCCTTGCTAGCTAGGGGTGATGGGAGTTGTAGTCCAACAACATCTGGGGACCCACAGGCTGAGAAAGGCTGCCCTAGAGCATTTCATGGGGCTCTTGCAAGGGTAAAGGAGGTAGGGGGTGGCCCTGATCTCCCTGGCAGGCTAAAAAAAATTAGCAAATTAATAGCGGGCAACACACTTTTCTGCGGGAGGCTTGTGAATGTTAAACAATTGGCTAGGCAATTTTGGGGCATGGCAAACAAACAAGAGCCAGGCCCCATTCCAAAGCCCTGTTCTTACAAGTCGCTGACTGAAAGCTGCCAGCACTGATGTCTTGACTTCCTTTTGGTCTTGTTTTTGGTTAAAACCAGAACGTTCAGCTAAAGCCCCTTCTACAGTTTGAGAGCCTCTATGCAGCAAATATACAGCACCCTAAAAAGCAAAGACATCACCTTGCCAACAAAGGTCCGTATAGTTAAAGCTTTGGTTTTCCCAGTAGTGATGTATGGAAGTGAGAGCTGGACCATAAAGAAGGCTGATCGCCGAAGAATTGATGCCTTTGAATTATGGGGCTGGAGAAGACTCTTGAGAGTCCCATGGACTGCAAGAAACTCAAACCTATCCATTCTGAAGGAAATCAGCCCTGAGTGCTCACTGGAAGGACAGATCCTGAAGCTGAGGCTCCAAGACTTTGGCCACCTCATGAGAAGAGAAGACTCCCTGGAAAAAACCCTGATGTTGGGAAAGATTGAGGGCACAAGGAGGAGGGGACGACAGAGGACGAGATGGTTGGACAGTGTTCTAAAGCTACCAGCATGAGTTTGACCAAATTGTGGGAGGCAGTGGAAGAAGAGTTTGGATTTGGATTTGATATCCCGCTTTATCACTACCCTAAGCAGTCTCAAAGTGGCTAACATTCTCCTTTCCCTTCCTCCCCCACAACAAACACTCTGTGAGGTGAGTGGGGCTGAGAGACTTCAGAGAAGTGTGACTAGCCCAAGGTCACCCAGCAGCTGCATTTGGAGGAGCGGGGAATCGAACCCGGTTTACCAGATTACAAGACTACCACTCTTAACCACTACACCACACTGGCTCTCAAGTGTGGAAGACAGGAGTGCCTGGCGTGCTCTGGTCCATGGGGTCACGAAGAGTCGGACATGACTAAACGACTAAACAACAGCAACAACATGCAGCAAATGACTCCTGGGACTATCTCTGCACGCTCTTTTGACTCAGGGCAGGGGTGTTTGGTCACTCACGCTGCTCTGGACAGAGCAAGCTGCTGGTCCTATACGGAAGGCAAAAGATGGCGATGCTTTTCAGAAGCACGCAACCAGAGTTTTGTGCAAGCCACCAGTTTTGCGCAAAACCGTGTCAGCGTACACATGCAAAATGACGAGGATAAATGAAACGTGCGCCCCATTCCCCCCCACCCCCCAAAATGCATAACAAAGGCCCCTTTGCAAGCGCAGACCTGTTCTTTGGGATGCAGCGAGCTCACTGGTTGCCGGCTCTGTACCTGAGGGTCCAGGAGGCAGCGCATACGGCAGAGAAGATGCTGGGGCTCCCGGCCGGCCATGCTGGAAGGAGGCACCAGAAGGAGGGGGAGGAGGAAGAGAAGAGCTGGGGTTCAAGCTGGTCGGGGAGGGCTGGGGCTGGGCCGGGTACAGCGGGGAGGGCATGGAGGTGGGAGGGTTAGAGGGCATGTAAGGAGGATTGGGGTTAGTGTAAGAGGCCGAGGCAGGAGGGGGCGGAGGAGGTTGTTGCTGGTGGGGCTGATAGAGCGACGGTCCCCCCGTTCCGAAAGAATACTGCTGCGCTGGCTGGCACGCTACATCGGAGGGCGTGGGGGGAAAGGAGAAGGTTATGTTAGTAAAGTGAGGCCCAGCTGAAACGGGAGAAAACACAGCCCTCCTAAGAGGGGCTGCAGGTTAAGCATTCCAGATAAAGGTTCCTGCTTTAATACGGAAGATAAAAACGGGAAATTATTATTAATTAAATTTGCATACAACACCCCAAGATCACGGGGCGGTGCACTACAGAAAAATACAAAACAAGAACACAGAATGCGTAATAAAACGAGAACAAAAGCAAAACAAAGCAATACTCCCCCACAGAAACATTTAGAATCGTGGGGTAGGAGAGCTTGGGGGGGGGGGGAATCAAATCTGGCAACCTATGCGCCCCTTTGGTCTCAGATAGTACCATGGGTAGAGGAGCCCAGGACACAAATTTTCACAGCCGTCTAGCTGCTATGGTGGCACGTTTACCAGAAGTAATGTATTTAGCGTTCACTCTGGAAGTGCATACCTTGTTTGACCAAACTAAGCCCCCTAGACATGGGTAAATAAGGCAAATGAGCCTCCATAGCCATTAGAGCAGGCATAGGCAACCTTTTACAACTATTTAAAAATACAAGATTGAAAACATATGGCAATCAAGAGGATAGGGCAGGTCCCAATGTATATACAAATCTCTCTTGGACATCAAATGCCAGGGTAAAGAGGTGTGTCTTCAGAATCAGCGTGTGGTGTAATGGTTAGAGCAGGCATCCCTGAACTCGGCCCTCCAGATGTTTTGAGACTACAATTCCCATCATCCCTGACCACTGGTCCTGTTAGTTAGGGATGATGGGAGTTGTAGTCCCAAAACATCTGGAGGGCTGAGTTTGCCTATGCCTGCACTAGAGGGCCCAGGAACATTTGTGTCCCAGATTTTTTACACTCGTCTACCCATGTACTATCTGAACCCAAAGGGGCACATTGGTCGCCAGATGTGAAATGTATTGGCATTGTTTTCAGCTCTCCTACCCCACTAGAAAGTCATATAATGTTAATTGGCCAAAAAGCCTGGTTGAAGAGGAACGTTTTTGCCTGGCGCCTAATCTCTAATAATCGATCTCTAGGTCAAGGTCATGTTGCCCATGAGATGCTGCTGCCGAATGCGACCCAGAGGGCCACAGGATCTCCCCTCCCCTGCTCTAGGGGGCTAAAAAGAGACAAGGGTGGCAGGGGGTGGGTGCGTGGGGAGACCAACGACATGTATGCAGCTCACCCTGAATAATTTAGAAGACACATTGTTCAGTCAAGTGCCATTTCTTCCTTAGAAATCGCAACCCTTAATGTTCAACAATTCTTTGACTCGTATGTTCAAAAGCTCTCCCTGCTCTGCACCATGCTACCCGGCAGAAATTGCTTGGATGTTAAGTGCTGTTACCAGATGAGTTATTAAGGGGCGATGGGGAGAGAAGAAATCAAATGAATATCACAAGGTTGCAGCTATTTCACTGCAAAATCCATAGCTCATTTATTTAATGCCTCTATGATGCCTGAAGAGAAATTTGCCAATCCCAAAGGGAACCTGAGCAGCATGGTGGGCTGAGAACTGAGTTACAGGGAGAGGGGGAGGGAGGGAGGGAGGGAGGGAGAGAGAAGGAAAGAAGGAAAGAAGGAAAGAAGGAAAGAAGGAAGGAAGGAAGGAAGGAAGGAAGGAAGGAAGGAAGGGCAGGTTTAAGTTCCTTTACAGTCATAAAAGATACAAGCCATTCCGGGCTCTTGGGATACAATGGGGAAAATAATCCAAGTTGCCATGTTATTCACAACATTGGTGTGGATTCAGCTAACCGGATGCTCTAGCAGAAGCCAGTGCAAGTACCACAACAAACCCCTTACCATCCAATCTGCCTTGCCAGGGTGTGTGTATGATACTACTACTACTACTACTAGTAGTAGTAGTAGTAGTAGTAGTAGTAGCAGTAGTAGTATACCACCCTTCATCTGCAGATCTCAGGATGCTGACGGAATGAGCGTATTCTCACAACTTCCTCCTTCAGCTCTATGTACCTTTCAAGGGAGAAAGATGTGACCACTTTCACCCCCTTGTGACCATGGCAGCGGTGATGATGAGTGGGTGGTTCAAAGGCTTTGTGGGCACCAGGGGAAGATCTCAAAGGTTGCCACAAAAACAAACCTAGGTTTATAGCACACCGAGCTCAATGGAATAAGAATAAAGGGGGGGATACTAGGAAGATTGTGCTACTTACGTTGTGGATACGCTTGTTGTGCTGCGACCTGAGAGTACATATTGTAAGCAGGTGGTGCGCTGGGATTAACGGTCCCTGGCATAAACCCTGGAGGAGGAGGGTTTTCCCCCTGGGGAACAAATTGGGAAGAGAAGAAAGGTTAGGTTTGGTTAGGTGCATATGAAGCGAAGGCTTGGCCCAGAATGACAGTTTGCAAAGTTAAAAGTCCTGCTCTCAAAGCACTCATTAGCTCACACACAATTCTTTTTCCACTTCCCACCTTACTTTGAATGTAAAGACAGAGCATGCAACAGGGTGCCCAAGAAACTGGCAATAGCCACCTGCAATGCCGAAAAATGGAGAAAACCTAACGTGCGCTGAATTCATTATGGGGAATGGGACGGTCAACTCAAGGTGCTTTTAAGGGCTAAATCATTTATTCAATTTGTTAGGGAGGGAGAAATGTGGCGGCGGGGAGGAATTAAGCCCACCTGTTCCCCCAGTGGAAACTATGGGGGCCTCGTTGATTGAACACAAAATCTGATTCACAGGCCAGAAGACATCGTGAAATACAGCAAAGGGAAATCTGATTGATCTGAAACCTGTGCCTACTTCCCAGATGGCCAGGAATGCGCTGAGAATTGCGAAGTGTGTATAAAAAAAGGTGATGGGAGCAGGGAGGGAGCATAGGAATGGCATAGAAAGGGATATGTGTGCAAGGGTCCAATTTTTATTTAAAAAATAATAATAACAAGGAGAGCAGATCCTGCTCAAAGAGGAATAATTAATGTTATACCTGTGTCTCAGAGGGAGAGGCTGCAGGAGGATGGCTGGGAAGGGCAGTGGGGTTTTTGTTACTCCAGGTAGTGACAGTAGGGGCAACTCTAACCTGAATTGAACAGAGAGATACCAATCATGGAAAAATAAAACGAAATGAAAAAAGAAGAAGAAAAAGTCCGAAAGGGTGTCAAACAGCCAGAATGCTCAAAAAATGCCCCCCCAAACACACTAAACAATGCCAACCCCCTATTTGCCATGCTGCTTAATAGTTATGATTGTTTAAGACCTCGATCACTGTATTCTTAAGAGCCAAGCAGCCAAGACAAGGCAGCAAGGGGAAAGAGAAGAAGCGAAGGGGAAGAAGGCAGTGAACGCTCAGCGGTGATTTAGATTTCACCTGGTTAGTGCTGTTGAATTGACTAGGATGCTTTTATTTGGCATGTTTTGCATCTCTAACAAGCTGCAGTCTCGGTGCCAAGTGCTGCTTGTCTAATACTCGATTGCCTGGATTGTTTTAAAACGCAGGAACCGACAGAGAGCCCTGTGGAAGATAGGAACTCCCAGAGCATACAAGTGGAGAACGTGGGCTGAGGATGGGGGAGACGCAAACATACACAGCACACCTGGCCATACAAAACTCAGCGTGGGCACCAGACTGCTCTGTGACTATTGAAGCTGCTGGGTTGGGATAATGCCATGCAGTGCTTTTATGTTTTTGTAAAAAAACAACACGAGGTGCCCATGCTTATATTGATGAGTGCCATGGGTGTCAGCACAAAATGGCTGCTATGGGCAGCAAAAAAAGAGGTACTGGAACTCTGTGCCAAGGAGTGCTGTCGCATAAACAAAAGGCCTGATGATATTACGGTGGTACCTCAGGTTAAGAACTTAATTCGTTCTGGAGATCCGTTCTTAACCTGAAACTGTTCTTAACCTGAAGCACCACTTTAGCTAATGGGGCCTCCTGCTGTCGCCGCACAATTTCTGTTCTCATCCTGAAGGAAAGTTCTTAACCCGAGGTAATATTTCTGGGTTAGCAGAGTCTGTAACCTGAAGCGTCTGTAACCTGAAGCGCATGTAACCCAAGGTACCACTGTACAACATCAAGACGGGAGTAAGACACATTATGCTCTTTGCAGAATCAATACATGGTATTATGTAATTAAGATACACAAAGGAAAGGAGCAAGACCCAAAGAGCACAGCAGCTTCTGCCTGCATTTAAGACTCAGCCACATACAGAGATTGATTTGTGCTTTGCCTTTCACAGCAGAAACAGGGTGAAATCAGCACTCACTCTTAAGCCTGCCCAGCACATGTCCTCACAGACAAAGTGAGCCATTCCCATTTACAATATACCATTCCGCTTTCCTTTGGACCACATCAGCGAGGCTGAGAGGAGGGTTTTGTCGTCTGGGTAGCCCAGGAACTCCTTACCCACTGCCCAGGCTGTGTGTCCGGGGATTTCACTCTGGTGCAGCAGTTCCAACTTCACCCCCGGGGGCACACTCCATTCTCTCTCGAGATGTGTGCCAACAACTTTTGTGCTTAAAGAAGAGAAGAATGTGCACATCCCAAAGACAACTGCCGGGGGGGGGGGGGGACACAGCCTCTGGTGCTGGTCTCTCCTGGTGTGTTAGAGGCAAGAGAACAACGATGCGCAAGTTTCATGCTTTCTATTCGTAAGAAGAGCCTTGCAAATAGGCTGTTTCTAAGCTATAAAATCGTTCAGGAGCCACCTCTCCACAAACATTTATACTTGTCATTTGTTGCGTCAAATAAAACATTTTCTTTTCTTTTAGCTTATAAACACTTCTAGGCTTGGTCACCTGGAGAAGATGCTTGCTCACTACAGACCGTCCAGACAACACTGTATTTACAAGCCTGCCCTAACTGTGTTTTAAGTCTGCTATCATAGCTGTCTGGCAAATATATCGGAAGGCTGAGGAGCCATAAGCCTTGGAGCAAAATATCCAGCTTATTTCAAGCTGAAAGGGTAGTGGCAAAACACGCCCCAAATTCATTATCTGCACAGGGAATTAAAGCAACACAAAGGGTGGTGGAAGGCGGGGAGAAAAAGAAGCAGGCGGAAATATCCCAAGCAGGATTTAAGGCTACAACACCCGGCATTTAAAAGAGCATTTCACATCAGCAAAAGCTTGCGTGGCATCAAAACGAACACTCAGGCAGGCTGGCTCGCAAGATTCCCATGATCGCTTTTCAGAAAAGCACGTGTACAAACTGCAAAAAGCACACGCAGAAGCTGCTGCTGGAAAGACTTGCAAGAAGCACTGCATACAGACGCTGCGGGCGCTGAATGCTCAGAGCATTAGGCAGAACGATGCTGCAGCAAAGCTGGGTGTCCACAGAAGCTGAAGTGTGGCTGCTGAAGGTGTCCGTTACCTGGTGATAGTATTGCTGGGCTGGGGCTTGTGGCATCTGCGCCTGGCCAGCCGCAGGTCCAATTCTCCCCCTGGGTGCTGCAGGCTGTCTTTCGTAAGGTACCTTTGGTGCTTCTGGGGCCCGGGAAAGCTCTCCTTGAGCTCTACAAATCCTTTCCCGCAACAAGATGATGTTTGGCTGCAAAGAGGAAAGAAACCAGAAGGAATTGCACACATACACCCCACAAGCAAGCAGGGATCCAATCAAGAGAACTGGTGCATTCGTTATTCGACACAGAAGGTGGCAGCAGAATAGAGTCGTGAGAAGGCACGAGGACTCGAGTTTCTGCAGCAGCGGGATAATTTTTCGCCTATGCTGAAGCAGGGACCCAAGGAGACACACAAATATATCTAATCTTTGCAAGATGAGGGGTGTTCCGCATCTTGCAGGCAGGCAGGAGATGTTTGGGAGCTTCAACACAGCTCTTCTTCATAGCTCCTGCTCCAAACCCAGAAGAACTGAACCAACAAGGAATTTCCACTCAGTCATTCCTGCCCTGGCCTAACTGGGCCCTACAATGTTCAACCACTCATTTATCCATTCTCCATCACCATCATTATATTTCTTATGCCCCTGGGTGGGTCACGGCTATTTAAAAATACAAGATTGAAAACAGAGGGCAGGTCCCAATGTATACACCATTCTCTCTAAAGTGTCAAATACCAGGGTAAAGATGTGTGTCTTCAGAATCAGCGTGTGGTGTAACGGTTAGAGCAGGCATCCCTGAACTCGGCCCTCCAGATGTTTTGGGACTACAATTCCCATCATCCCTGACCACTGGTCCTGTTAGCTAGGGATGATGGGAGTTGTAGTCCCAAAACATCTGGAGGGCCGAGTTTGGGGGTGCCTGGGTTAGAGTGTTGGACTGAGACCTACGGGACCAGGGTTCAAATCCCCACTCAGCCATGACGCTCACTGGGTGACCTCGGGCCAGACGCACACTGACCCACCTCGCAGGGTTGTTGTGTAGGTAAAACAGGAAGGCGAACCATGTATGCCTCCTTAAGCTCATTGGAGGAAAGGTGGGATATAGATGAAAAAAATTAAGAATCAGACGGAAACTACAACACTTTGGAGGTCCCAAGTTGTAAGGTGGCTAGATTGATCTCAACTAGGGCCAGGGCCTTTTCAGTACTGGCCCCAACTTGGTGGAATGCTCTGTCACAAGAGACTAGGGCCCTGCGGGACTTGACACCTTTCCGCAGGGCCTGCAAGAGAGAGCTGTTCCGCCTGGCCTTTGGTTTGGACTCAGTCTGCCCCTTATGTTTCCCTCCCCTTACGGTTTTGATCCATGGACTACTTTTAAAATGAGGCTGCATTTTAAATTGCATTTTAACCTGTATTTTAAATTGGGTTCCCCCCCCATTATATTTTTATTGTAATTTTGCTGGTGTTAGCCGCCCTGAGCCCGGCTCTGGCAGGGGAATAAATAAAATTTATTATTATTATTATTACATAATGAAGGTGCCAAATGAACCTCTGCAAGGAGGGAATTCCACAGCTTGGGGGCTGCCACAGAGAGACCTTCTCCCAGAAGACCCTCAAACTTCTGAGGGCAGTGGAACTACCAAGAAACCCCCCCTCCAGAAAGTAGACTTTCAGATATTTGGGGTGCAAGCAGTTTAGGGCTTTAACCTAATGTGAGCACCTGGAAACGAACTGGAAACCAACACGGCTGTTTAAAAACAGGGTTACCTAGATGGTAAGTGAAAGCCCAGCTGAATTTTGGACCAGCTGAAGTTCTTCAGTTGCCTTCAAGGTCTGGCGCTGATGCGTTGCTGCGCTCCACAATATCTGGAGGGTGCTAGGTTAGCAAAGGCCAATCTAGTGTAAGGCAAGGGAGGGAAACAAAAGCCGAGCCCGTTTACCTGGTTGGTGTTCTCGGGAAGGAAAGCTAAAGCTGCAGCGGTGCTGCCCTGCGAAGCCAGGAGGTTGGCATACTGGCTCATCTTGTCGGCCAAGAGAGCCCCAACTGTGCTGGCGTCGGCCACTTGCGTCTGCTGCACCGCCTTGCGCAGGATAACCACTTTCTCAATGAGGTCCTACGGGGAAAAAGAAAATAGTTAAATGGGAAGCAGGCCAGTTTGGATTAAAGTGTTTCTATCTGCATGTGGGTCCCTTCTTTTTTTTTACCAGTAGAATTTCATATAAAGTTTAAAGGTGTTGTGTTATCTCACAGGGGACCAGACCCAAAAGGGAACTAGTTAACGAAGAGCTACCTGAAGGGAAAGCGGGGTGCTTCCATCTTGAGCTTTAGTCCAGCAGGCAACCAGCTTTTCTACATTTCCAGCACAAATGTAACATAGGCAAGCCTGAGTCTGCAGATGGCTGTCACCTTCGCTTTCAAGCCTAGAGCCCAACAAATCTAGGAATTAGAAGGAAAAGAGTGCATATTTGAATCCATGCAATTAAAACCTGCCCTGTTAAAAATGCACCAATGTCTAGTTTAGATGTCGCATTCCAAATGACCAGAATGTGCCAAGGTTCTCAAGTGTTCCCTCTTCCATTTGCTGGTTATCTCTAGCCAGCATTGGCTACGACATTTAAATTTGGCAAAGTTATGGTTGGTGCTAATCTCAGCTGCCCATTCTAAACATCATGAAATACCTATGATTATAGGAACCAGGAAATGGAGGCAACTAAAGCCATGCTGTCATTTGATCCATTCCAGCTTGTGGTTACAAGAACTTTGTAAGAATTAGTGCTTGAGTTCGCCTCCCTGCCTCATCCCTCCAAATCCCCTTTGCCTTTTGTGCTGTGCCTTTTAAGAATGTAAGCCTGCAAGTTGGATCAGTCTTTGCATTGATATTTTAGGAGCCACTACGGAAACCTTTTCCAGATGAAAAGCAAGGTAAAAATGCTTTAAATAATAATAATAATAATAATAATAATAATAATAATACTGTGTGCTTGATAGCTTACTAAATGAGATGTGTTCATATTTTATTTCAGTGAAGGAAAAGGCAAGCTATAAAAAAGATACGTTGCATTTTAATTAAAGAGTAACCCAACACCTTCGTCTGGGTCTAGTTTCCTCACCACAGAGAGCAGCAAATTCATCGGGCCTTGCATAAGTCAACACAGCAGCTAAAGCTTCCCTCCAGTTTTGCAGGTCGCAAGACTGGACAATCTCCTTCCAGTTCTTGGTCACAACTGCAGTGATGAGCTGAGAAGAAAAGGCAGAGAACAAGTAAGTATATTAAGACTGCCCTGTTCTAATGTTCAGCATTTACCGACTGAGCATCCTAGCCAAGAAAGTAAAGTGGTTCTGCAAAAGCTTGCTTTAAAAACAGGATCTAAAGACATGCACACTGTTCACTGGTTACTACTACGCTACAGTAATCTTGTGTCATGGTTTAGTACCAGCGAAATCTGTAGTTGCCTAATCTACACATGCAGCAGGATGTGGTGGTAAAATAGAAAATATTACTTCATACTGCAGGTTGCGGGGGTGGGAATCACATTTCTGGAATGTCTCTCCTCTTTTTTAAAAAGCCTTGCAAGTAGAAAACTAGCACATAAGGGAGAAAGGTCTTAGTCCAGCCACTTCAGTTGTGCTAGCTTCCCCCTGCCTACAGGGAATTGTTTTTGGTTTGATTCACATATAGGAACATTAAAATGTGATTATCCCAACTTGGGGTGTAAGATCATACACTCCAAATTCCTCCCTACCCAATAACTACATCCTCTCTAACCACTTCTTTCTCTACAGCATTTTGAAGGTTTCCTCTTTCTGAGGCCTAGTTCTCACAAACAACGGGTGAGAAACCCGGAATGTACCACCACAGAATGCAGGTGGAGGCTTGCTTGACTGAATGTTTCTTCCACACAGAAAAATAGATTATCAGGTAAGGGAAGTCATAGACTAGTCAGATGACTCATCTACAACCCTCTGCCTGATAATCACATCTAACCAGCATTCAAAACTCCCATTGTTCTGGGTGCGTTTTGTGACAAGGAATTTCATTAGCTTGAGCAGTTTCTGAGCTCTGGGTGTGCTGAAGATTTCAGCACTGAATACTGGCGAAGAGACCTTCTGAAGAATATTAGCAGGGGAAGAAAGGCTTTGCTCTTTTTTGCAGTCTTCAGATGAGGACTGGACCATGCGAAATATGAATGTAAGATTTTAGCTGAAGTTCATTCATCTTCAGCTTTATATTCTTGCTGTTAAAAAAGCGTGCTTTGGCATTCCGCTGTTGTGCCCATAACCAAGGTTTAAGGTGCCATTGAGCTCCTAGCTTTCCTGTCTCAGTTTGTAACACTGCACCCAGCGCTTGAGAAATAGATAAATAAAAATGTTCTCCCCCATTTCCTGCCTGCGGTTCACGGATCTTAATCTCCCTACAGCTCTTCTCCCTTACTACATCCTCACAATTTAACAATATGATCTCTTCCTTCTGCTCCCAGCAGCTTCGGACACGGTGAAGGTGCAATGAGCGCAGGACATTGGTGCCTGCGCACTGCACTACCTCCTCCTGTGTTGCTTCACCGCATCCACAAACATTTAAGCCCCTAGGATTTTATAGCATAGACCATGGGTCGGCAAACTAAGGCCCGGGGGCTGGATCTGGCCCAATTGCCTTCTGGATCCAGCCCATAGAAGGTTCGGGAATCACCACTTGGAGAGTCTGATTGTTCAGGCTGCGCCATTTCCCACCCCCCCAAACACACACCGTGGCAGCGCCTCCTCCCTCCCTCCTCCCGGCTTCTCCCTGCCCTGCCTAGAGGAGGAAGGGGGCTGGGCTTTGTTGAGCCGCAGTTGGCTGAGCGCCATTTTAAGCAGCCCCTCTCTGGAGCCAGCCCTTTTACGCCGCTCATCGTCCCTCCGCCACTGCTGCCACCAGCCCCTGCTGCTTGCAAGGCATAGGTAAGCAGCCACTGGGGCTCGTCTGGTGCTGTGCAGAAGGGAGGGGAGAGTCAGTGGGGGGAGTTTTCCCCCAAATATAGTCCGGCCCCCCACAAGGTCTGAGGGGCAGTGGACCGGCCCCCTGCGGAAAGTGTTCTGACCCCTGGCGTAGACATCAGACACACCCTAAACAAGACCCCAACAACAGAGGCATTTGACAAGTTGGAAGATGGCACATCTAACATTGGGGGACGGGACGGGAAGGAGAAGAAGAACTAGATCTATGAAATAAGAAGAGTATGAGAAGAGGTAGGGAGAATACCAGAAGTGCAGTATACCTTTGTGGCTTACAGGTAACTTTGCACCTCTTAATCTCTGCCTAGTCGGCACCGTCAAATGTTTTATTCATCAACCTATCTGGTTCCAGAAACCAAGGGGTGTACAAAGACTGCCACAATTAACTGCACCATTTGTCTTATCACTAGAAGTTTCAGGATCTTGGTAATCTAATTCAGGAACTTGATTGCCTAAAGCTGTGCCTAAATTGCTTATCATCGTCTCCCGGAGGACTGATTTATTTTTGAGTTACAGCCAAAGGAACCTGGCTATAACTCCCTTGTTTGTGGGGACAAACAAGGGAGACTTCAATCATGAGGAGGTGTGAACAGCTGTCAAGTGGGACAGATTGATAGGACACTTGAGAAAGTAAACAAGGTGATTGAAAAAAGAAGCTGGTTTAGGAGGGGAGCGTGGCTCCATCTGAAAAAAAACAAAAGCAGGTGTTTGGGGAAATCTCACTTTGCACAGCCACAAGAAAGACTGGCCTCAAGGTCCATTTCTAAAACGCACAGCCCACCTCTGGGTCTGGCAGATCCACAAGCCTCTGCTACTGCAGAAGTGGATGGAGATTTAAGCCCTGGGCCACTAAAAATGGAGCAAAACAGTTTCTGCTAAGAGCTCTTGGCTACTGCTATTGCGATCTCAAAAATGTCCACAGCATAGGACAAACAACAGAAGTGTGGGCACACACACACACACCCCACATTCTTGCCAGAACATCAGCATGGGCAGTGCATGTTTTATCTCTGTTTTAATAAAAAGTACAGCGAGAATGGGATGCGGGGGGTGCTGTGGGTTAAACTACAGAGCCTAGGACTTGCCGATCAGAAGGTCGGCAGTTCGAATCCCCGCGATGGGGTGAGCTCCCGTTGCTCGGTCCCAGCTCCTGCCAACCTAGAAGTTCGAAAGCACAAAGTGCAAGTAGATAAATAGGTACTGCTCCAGCGGGAAGGTAAATGGCGTTTCTGTGTGCTGCTCTGGTTTCGCCAGAAGCGGCTTAGTCATGCTGGCCACATGACCCGGAAAAAATGTCTGCGGACAAACGCCGGCTCTCTCGGCCAGTAAAGCGAGATGAGCGCTGCAACCCCAGAGTCGTCTGCGACTGGACCTAATGGTCAGGGGTCCCTTTACCTTTACAGCAAGAATTGGGCCAACATGGAAAAGTCTGGAATCATCTTTCTGTGTGCACCAGGAGATTTTCTTGGCTGACTGCACCATCAGCTTGCTGGTCACTAATGTCCACAGAATACTTTAACCCAGCAGCAGTCAATCTTATCAGCAAGGGTGCCACAAGTCAAGTGTTAAGTGCTTATACAGCCTTTTCATCACAGAAGATGTAGGAAAACTAAATGGAATGTTTTCCATTGCTTTTTAAGGCCCTCCCTCATTTGCTGCTCCAGTTGCCTGACAGCCTCAAGGAAAATGAAGGACGAGGCGAAGAAAGGAATGAGCTCTGCTGGCAACGGAGAATGTCAAGTACAAACCAGCAGAGGCCTATGGCAGAAATCGGGCCATTAGAAAAGAACAACTCCTGCTAAACTCAGGAAAGTAACCCGTGAACATATGAACACAAATCCCCAGATATCTCTGCTCTGGCTGAAGGCCAGAAAACTGAAGGAGGACACCGGGGATCAAAGCAAGAGAGAAAAATTGTTCTCACAAAATGCAAAACAGATGGCATATAGAAACACAAAGACTGCCAAAGTTGAGGCTGGACATTCCTTGGAACCAAGGGAAAAGCGTCACAACAGTCAAATCTAAGGGGCAGGCAGGAGATGGGAGGGGGGTTGTTGGTTGAGAGTGGCTTACCAAGGAGTAACACCACCTCGGGAGAAAAGGGGGGGGGGTGTTCTCTTTTTCATCCAGCGATTCAAGGCAATAAAATTTATTCTTATCCTGTTCTAGCTCAATATAAGAGAATGCAAGAAAAATGTCATGACGGGACCAGGACTTCAGCCTGATTAATCATACGCTTTTTAGTCAATTGCATGAAATCTAAGCCGGAATTCAGAAACGAGACGCACACTTTGTTTGTAGATGGTGTACTATGATGACTGCCACAAAACAGGTGTGCAAGAGGCATTCCCCCTCTGTGCAAGAAATGCCTCTTGCGTCATTTGCCGTTTGTATAAGTCCTTGTGTTTCTTTGGTTTTTAAAGAACTGCTGCCTGCTTAATCGAGGACACTTCTTAAAAGACTATCAGAAGTTTTCCCGTTGATTAATGCAATCAATTAAACGCTGCAGCTCTAGATAGAATCAGGCAATTCTACATGTTAGCTGCATCTGAGGATTTTCATTTATGACGTAGAACCTCCATTGTCTAATATTGGGCTGGTACCCATGCAAGGCTGATCCATCAACCATTGTTAAAGAGACTGGCAGCAGGAGGAAGGATTTTATGCCCCCTCCCTACCGTGAGCCCCTTGTCTCCTGACTTAATTACAATTAAAGGTTATACTGAAATCAATATTAATTGTGTTTAAGGGGAATGGCCACAGAGGGGACCTGCCAGCCAACAGTCCACTTGCGATCAGCCCTGTTATATAAGCAACGGCTTCAAATTCACTACTGATTCTTCCCCACAGATTGCTCTCATGTTACTATGCATCTATTATACCTGTTTACTTGATGCATGGATTATCTGATCCTTCCAGAAGCCTGCCTGGTCTTCTGAATAAAGGATGAGGTTGTGAGCCCATATTTTACCCACGTTTCCAACTTAAAAGCCTGCATACCCTGGTAATTTTGCCTCGTGTCTTTGCAAAGTACTTCTCCTGGGTTCTGGACAGCAGCTCCTGGCCACCGGCTATAGCTAGTATAATGGCATCAGCCATGCGATTGTCGTGGAGGCAGAGGTCAACGGCGCTTTCAAAGTTCCCCGTCAGCAAAGCCTGAGTGATCAAGCCGTCTATATCTGCAACAAGGAAAACAAAGAAACTCACTTATCATCATCACAGCAGCCTAACAAAGAACTGAGGAAGGTTCATGTTTAACCAAGTTTAAAAGCCCGGGTGTTCTGTACAAAATGTGGGCATTTTTTCCTTACCTCCAGTGACGGAAATGTTAAATGTTTCATCTGCAGACAGCGGAGTGGCAGTCTCATCTTTTTTACTCTAATAGGCAGAAATGAATGTGATTTTAGAGTGGATTTGATAATGTATTTACATTAATCCATAACTGAGAAAACAAGATACACTGATATGCTTTCGTACCGTCATTTTCCTAAAAGGCTGCTAACTTATTGAAGAGCATTATTATGGATGCACATATATCACTAAGTGTTGTGTCAACAAAATTTATTTTATCCTGCCGCAACCTGATGGGGGGGGGGAATCCCAGCCTGGTGACAAAACTGTGCGTATTTAGGACTGCAACCCTATGCACCCTTTATTGGGAGTAAGATCCACTGAACTCAATGGGTCTTACTTTCAAGTCAATAGGTACAGGATTGGGCGCTACGTCATTCAGATGAAATGCCCAAATAACAAACCACTGTGGTTGAGAGATCTATCGAACTGTCCATTTCTAATGCAATTGGCAAAATGCCCGGTGACTTCGAAAGACAGGCCTCTTGAAGGACAGGATGTACAACTGAGTAATACAATTTGTATATTCCAGCTTTATAACGTGCACCAGAACACTCCAAAGCCCAGAGGGCAAAATGGAAAGGAAGTCTGCATTTGCCTTGCGGGGGTAGCATCCTTGTAGAGGGGATGATGCTAATCCGAGTAAAATCTTTCAGCGTATTTAATGTAGCCTATACATTCCTGGTTATGCTAATGGCAGACAAAGTGAAACCCAAACCTATTGCTCTTCTGCTCTGTTCACCATTAGCAGGGAAAGCCCATGTAATATGTATGGGGCTCATATATCCAAAGCCACTGGCCTCCTTCCCAAGACTGAGCAGCTTTGGAAATTTATGCTTCTTCCCCAGGCACTTCCATCCTCCCCACAAGCAATGGGGAGTTAGGAAGTGGGTGTCCTAAAAAAAAAGGTTCCAGGCATTGCTGCCCCCTGGTGCATGTCAGTTCTCAAGGCCCATATCAAAAGAAAGTTAAGAAGCTGTACTGTGCAACAGGGGGAAGAACCAGTGCCTAGCCTTCACAGGAAAAACATATAACCTGGGTTAATGGTTGCATTTACTCAAGCTGCAAACTTTGACTCTTTCTTTCCCCCGTTGGTGCAAGAGAATCTGGGTAATTTTTAGTGCAGAAAATGCACAGCCTTGCACTCACATCCTTCTACAGGGAAGGTGGACCTTTTTCAGCCTATGGAACCAACCCTTCCTGGGGGGCAGAGGCAAGAGTGTGCAGAGCAAGTGCTGGGCACGATCAGAGGCAAAAGTGGGCAGGGCAATTAATGTAAATTTTACACATGTATACTGGTTTCTACAGAGACATCTCTCATCCACTTCTATCCTCCACTCTAATGCAAACAAGAGGTGTTATCGGGTGTTCCAGCATGGCAAAAACACTCAAGGAGGGTGTGACTGGGGAGGGGGTATAGCTTAGAGGGAGTTCCAACAAGGTCTAGAGCAGCCTTTCTCAACCTGTGGGTACCCGGATGTTGGACTACAACTCCCATCACCCCTAGCTAGCAAGGCCAGAGCTCAGGGATGGCGGGAGTTGGTAGTCCAACAACATCTGGGGACCCACAGGTTAAGAACCGCTGGTCTAGAGGGTCACATTCAGCCCTACAAGGCCTGAGATTCCCCATCCCTACCCACTCACTTTCCTGTCTATGAGTGCACATGATACACACATTGCAGAACAAACAGAATAGTTGGGAGTCAGCGACCAAGCACCCATATGTTTAGTACAGAAGAGAATGAATACCTCTCCCAAGAGCTGATCCTGAGCAGCCACACCTTCTTCGCCATCACTCTGCACTGGCTGGTCAGATTCCTCTAAAGTCTTTCCCACGGAAGAGGAAAAGATGTTTTCAAAGGTTTTAGGCAGAGAGAAAGACACCAAAGCAGTTAGAGCCAGCACCAAACAGTTCCCATTGTTAGTATAAACCTATGCACCCAATTAAAGACAAAAAGGCGGCTTCTTTCTCGGCTTTCCTTTCCAAATCATCTCACACCCTGTTAATAAACGTTTGTCAAAATATCCAACCGTATTGTATTTATTTCTGCATTTATACGCCACCTTTTCTCTAAGGACCTTCAAAACAGGGGAAAAGGTTCTTCCCTTCTCCATTTTATTTTCACAACAGCCCTGTGTGGTAGGCTAGGCTGCAAGCGGTGACTGTCCCAAGGTCACACAGTAAGCTTTGCGGCTGAATCCTGGTCTCCCGGACCCTGTTCCAGCACTCTAACTACTAGACCACACTGACTCTCAGATAGGAGGATATTTTCAACCCACACACAGACAAGGAACGGGTGGAAGGCAAGCTCACAGAAGCGACAGTCAGGGATAAAAAAAAATACTCAAGATAAAGAGGGTAGCTTAGTGGCAGAATGCATGTTATTTCCTTACGGGAAACCCTGTGCTATGAACCAGAAAGTTCAGCAGAAACTGCATGACCATTAGTAGCTGGCAAGATACTATCCCTTGTTATCTGGAGAGAGAAATAATTTGCAGGCTTGCTTGAGGATGCCTGCCATCACAGACAAACATCAACTGTACTGACACTTTCCCTCAGTGTCGAAAGTGTCAATGTCAAAAGTGTCAATGTTATGAAAACTGTGATCAGAACAAAACTATGTGGGTCTGCCTAAGATCCTAGATGCTGACTCTTAGTTCTTGATACAGGCTGGAATTGTGTTTCCTTAAAGGTAAAGGTACCCCTGCCCGTACGGGCCAGTCTTGACAGACTCTAGGGTTGTGCGCCCATCTCACTCAAGAGGCCGGGGGCCAGCGCTGTCCGGAGACACTTCCGGGTCACGTGGCCAGCGTGACATCGCTGCTCTGGCGAGCCAGAGCCGCACACGGAAACGCCGTTTACCTTCCCGCTAGTAAGCGGTCCCTATTTATCTACTCGCACCCGGGGGTGCTTTCGAACTGCTAGGTTGGCAGGCGTTGGGACCGAGCGACGGGAGCGCACCCCGCCGCGGGGATTCGAACCGCCGACCTTTCGATCGGCAAGCCCTAGGCGCTGAGGCTTTTACCCACAGCGCCACCCACGTCCCTACATTCCTTAACCCAACATTATTCTGCCTGACTGTTAATATCGTCAGCAGAGGCCCTGCTCCACATCCCTTACCATCTAAAGTTTGGTGGGAGCGTACGCAATGCAGGGCCTTCTCAGTGGTGGCCCCTTGGCAGGTCCAAAACTTCCCTGCTCCCCCCTCTTGGTGTTGATGGCTTGTAAAGACCATCTCATTTCCATGGGCTTTTTGCAACTGCTTTTCTTCGCCTGCATTGGTTTGTGAGCGCTTCCTCCTATTACGGTTTTACAAGCCTTTATTGCTCACTTTCACTTATTTATCTTGCGGCATTTTAGCTACATTTAGTTTTCAAAATAACTTTCTAATGAGCTGCCCCAGGTGCCTTTAGGCACAAAAGAGACACAGAGAGATGAATAAATAACGTACGGCTGCAGAAATAGGTGCTACAGATGCTTTAAAAGGGAGGCGAATTAGAACATTGAACGGGAAGGGGAGAGAGTGGACTAGAGAGGGGAAAGAGAGGAGGAGGAAAGCGATGCAGGAAAACAGAGGACTGGGATTAAGATTGAGGAGCAAATGGACTCGAGGCATAAGGAAAAGAAACACCAGGAAGTCATTAGTAAGCAAAGCTCTTAGCGAAAGAACACACAGCTCCTTATTCAGGCTATGTTTGGGTCATGTGGAGGTGCTGCAGCAACAAAACACTTAGAGAAAAATTTTCAAGGGTTTGAGGCTGTTTATAAAAGCTGGGAAAGCTGGTTATATTAGGCACTATGTATAGACCCTTGGCTTGCCCAAGTCTACAGTGATTTCCTTACTCTGATCCACTGTCTGCTTCTAACCCTGCTGGAGAAAGTAGTTCCAGAATTTACAAAGCTTCGCTATTCCCCCCACCTTTCCCCAGTAGCACAAAACTGCAGCAGCACTGCAGTTCCTGTTCCTCTCAAGCCAGGATTTCGGAGAGATCTATGGCCTTCATTCTTCAAAGGTTTCCAGCAACCTTTTAAACATTATAGATTCAGAACTCGGGGGGGGGGGGGGAGCACTGGCTCTGTGGAGACAATGTGCAATAACTCTTTCCAGGGAAAGTAGGGAAGGTTAGTGAGATGTATTATTACACTGTCAAGACGCCCAACAACAACATAAAATGCTGCCGCAGAGGCCACATCAGAATTGTAAAGAACATTAATGGGGAGAGGGAGGAAGGGAGGCAGACCATAAAGACTTGGGTCAAGGTGGATTTATCTCCTGTGAACTGGGTTAATTGGAGTAATGAAAAAAGCAAATAACTCTTGCACAGTCTTTTTTTAAAAGGCTGAAGTTTTATTCTGCAATTAATATGAACCTTTACTGCCCGAAGTGCCACTTCTAAAATGCAGGTTAACATGATGGCAAGCTTGGCTTATTCATGCCTTTTTGAGCAAATACTAGGCTGCCAAAGAAATGACATTGCAGGAAAAGTGAACTAAGTTCCAAACTCCATCCCATTTGCATAATAAAGGTAAAGGTAAAGGTACCCCTGCCCGTACGGGCCAGTCTTGCCAGACTCTAGGGTTGTGCGCCCATCTCACTCTATAGGCCGGGGGCCAGCGCTGTCCGGAGACACTTCCGGGTCACGTGGCCAGCGTGACAAGCTGCATCTGGCGAGCCAGCGCAGCACACGGAACGCCGTTTACCTTCCCGCTAGTAAGCGGTCCCTATTTATCTACTTGCACCCGGGGGTGCTTTCGAACTGCTAGGTTGGCAGGCGCTGGGACTGAGCAACGGGAGCGCACCCCGCCGCGGGGATTCGAACCGCCGACCTTTTGATCGGCAAGTCCTAGGCGCTGAGGCTTTAACCCACAGCGCCACCCGCGTCCATTTGCATAATAAAACCTTGCATTTGTTTCCTTACCTCATCTGGTTCTCTACTATGAAGACTCTCTTTATGGAGAGCTAAAGAAATCTGAAGGGAAGGAAAAAGAATTATGGATTATCTTGGAGGGGAACCTTCAAATCTCCCAACTGCCAGCTCCCCCCCCCCTGCAACACTTTCCTCTGCTTATTGAAGGACCTCTTCTATCACATGTCAATCTAGTATTTTAAAAAGCTGTTTCAAAGACTGGCACACGTATTTTTAAAGGCGATTTCTATTTAGTGTGTCAATCTGGCCTTTACTTGACAAGAGAAAGCAAATGATATGAATGAGCAGGGTATTAAGGTAAATTGGAGACTCAACCACCTCTGTATAATGAAAACTTTTTAGCTCATTTCTATTTATTTTTTTAAAAAACAATACCCTACATTAAAAACCCCAAGGCTGTTTACAACACATAAGTATCAACAAACAAATTCCATTAAAAGCCAGTGAGGTGCCAGCCATCCAGTTCTATACACAGAATTATTGATGACTGACCATGCCTACAGCTTCATAAAAAAACATTGTGCCTGGGGTGATGTACAAATATTATTATTATTATTAGCATTAGCATTTACCTTTTTTGGTAAGTCATCTTTCCTGAAGCCCAGGAGTTCCAAGCATTTGCCACGTGAATCCTCTTCAAAATGCACCTTTAAAAAAAAAGTTAGGAAAAAGGAAGCGTTGCAGAAAACAGAGGTTCATTTTTATTCCCTTTCCCACAATGTCTTCCATCCTGCACTTCCCATTCTGTACAATTAACCGTTGCAAAGCAAACCTAGTGAATTTGAAGCAAGATGCTAACGAAACCCTGAAGCCCCTTGTTTTTCTGCGAGGAGGAAGGACTACAATGGAACATTAAGCAGAGCGGTATAAAGAATTGTGCGTTTTAAGGGCAGTCCATGCTAAAAAGCAGGGAGAGCCAACATTGTGCCTTCCAGATGTGGGTGGACTACAACTCCCATCATCTCTCACACCATTGACAATGTTGCCAAGCAAGAACATGGCAGAAGAACAGCTCTGATGGATCAGGCCAAAGGCCAGCATCTGGTCTAGCATCCTGTTCCCACAGTGGCCAACCAGAAGCCCAGAAGTAGGACCTGAGTGCACTCTACTGTACTTGAGATCCCCAGCAACTGGCCTTCAGAGGCATACTGCCTGTGACAGTAGGTAGAACATAGCCATTTTGGCTTGTAGCCACTGATAGCCTTATCGTGCACAAATCTGTCTAGTCCTCTTTTAAAGGCATCCAAGTTTGTGGTCATTACTAGCAAAGCACTGGGTTTTTAAGGTGACAGGGAGCTAATGCACTGTCAAAAAAATCTAAGATTACCTTTAAGAAAGACCACACGTTGCTCTCAAAGTCATTCTTGGCAGCATCAATTTTCTTCTGGCAATAGTTGACAAACGCTTCTGCCTGCACAGCCTCCTGCAGCTGATCGGAGCGGCTCAGGAATTCCTTTTCGGTGACAACTTGGCTGACGTAGACGTGGTAGTGATGCTGAGGATGCTCTGCTCCTTGCTGCTGGGGCTTGCTGTTCTCAAAGGTAACTAGCTTTCCGCCAAACTGGAATTCAAGGGCAGCACAGATACCGTTTAGGCAAGAGTTTCAAATCCATTACCATCAAGATCCATGCTTAGTTTTAATACACACGCTCAAAAGAAAAGAAGGTTCTGAAAATCTGAGGTTTGCTTTAAAGCAGACGTTTGACAGGGGTGGGTGAGTTGCAAACTAACGCTGCAGTGTAGACTTGTGAAGATGCTGGCTCAAGGGAAAGAATCCAGGGGCCACATGCCCTGTGGTAGACTGAGCCAAAGGTAATAGTACTACTACTACTACTACTAATAATAATAATAATAATTTATTATTTATACCCACCCATCTGGCTGGGCTTCCCCAGCCACTCTGGGCAGCTTCCAAAAAAATATTAAAATACCGTAATACATCAAACATTAAAAGCTTCCCTAAACAGGGCTGCCTTCAGATGTCTTCTAAAAGTCTGGTAGTTGTTGTTCTCTTTGACATCTGGTGGGAGGGCGTTCCACAGGGCGGGTGCCACTACCAAGAAGGCCCTCTGCCTGGTTCCCTGTAACTTGGCTTCTCGCAGTGAGGGAACCGCCAGATGGCCCTCGTAGGCTGAGCAACAGGGACAAGTTTTACCTGGTTTCTACATGTACCTCTCCTTGTCCTCAATCCAGACAAGAGGCATGACCAAAATTCAAGGACACATTCTAGCTAGGCATTCTAGCTAGGCATGCTCCAATCAAGGAGGATGGAAAGCAGGGTTGGTGAAAGGTGTGTCCTGGGAAGAATTTGGAGGAGCAGGCGGAGAAGCCTGGAGGGTCACATTTGGGCCCTGGACCTGAGGTGCCCCACCCCTTATTTATTGCTGAAACAGGCAGAGTTTGCATGGGAAAAAGTGCACACACCTATAAGGGGCTCCTGGTCTCTTAACAAGGGGAGGGAAAGCAGAGGACTGTCCACTGGAGCCATGTCACGATTTTGAGTACATAGCTTAAAAACACACACATGAACTCTCCACCATGAGAAAGTATAGGAATAAAGTGACATATTTTGGGACTTAGTTAATCAATATATTTACCCCATTCTCTTAACAGATGCAGAACTAATAATAAAAGAAGTAACTCCACCTCACCAGTTATAGAAGGTGTGACCTTTTTCTGAACCAAGAGACAGATGAAAGCAGATGCTCTACCTATAATTGTTTGTCCCTAGCAAGTCTATCACACTTTGTCAGCTGAAGATCTAATTTCACGGCAGTATCTGAACGGGGCTTAACACCACAGACACATTATACTGAGTGCTGGTTGTGTGATTACTTCATCACAAGGGGAACGTGATATACCGCATATCCTCGATTTTAAACTTCACAAAGGAGCAGAATAACACTTTCATAGAACAGGCAACTCAGCAGAAGGGTTAAAGAAGCCCACCCCATTAGAGTGCAATTAGGATTCCACTTACTGAAAAAGATGCACCGACAGGTCGGCGAATCCACTTGGGTGGCTTCTTCAAGGGCAGGATTCTGCTCTGTGGAGTGGTCTGCTGTGGGAGCTGCAATGGAGGAAGTGGCTGCCCTGTTCCAAATGGATCGAGATTACCAAAGGAGGACGAGAGCTTTCGAAAAGGAGAGAAAGAGAAAGACAGATGGGTCTAAAACTCATGCGCATTATCACCACTCCTGTTTACCCAACCAGTTATCAATTCTTGGGCTTGCTTCTTGGGAGTTTAATTTGTTTGTATATTCAAGGGGTGGATTAGAAGCCCATCTGAGCTGCAAACAGTTCCTGTCAATAACTGTCATCTGTCCATACAAAAAAAGAACATGATTGTTCTGTTTCGCAAGCAGGATGCACAACTTCATAGCAAACCACACCACCATTTTATAATAAAAACCTTCTAAAAAGTTAGCTCCAAGGTGCCACCAAACAATTTTCTCTCTCTCTTTAACCCTACAAATAGGACTCCTCTCAGGAGAATAGTCTCTGCCTGTGTACAGAGACTCCAACAGTAACTTTTGACAGCCAAAGCAATTTTTAAAAAGTATTTCATCATGTATTGCAAACATCTGTCTTCCGTCAATTTGATATGCAGTGTTTTGTTTTAAATACCTTGTCTGCTTGCTTCTGTCGCAGGCTGTCAGTGCTTCCTCCCATTATCGAGTAAACGCTGATCCTCCCATCAAAAGAAGCAGCAGAGAGAAGAGCAGGGTTCCTGGGACACCACTGGACGTCAAAGCACCACTGGGTACTGGTCGGAAGCTCATACAACACCTGTATCCAAAAGACAAACATATTACAATAACAATGGCAGAGACCTAAACGGCTTAAGAAGGACCACTCAGCCACATCCAGAAAGCTAGTTTGGAGACAAAAGCTAATTCTGCCTCGTTCTGCTCCGAGTGCAAAGTTTGTGCACTCTTTTTGCAATAGCCAAACAAGAAATGTCTCTCCATTTCAAAAGCTTGCAAGCAAGTGTTCAATCAGTACCTCTCCTGTGTTTGGATTGGAGCAAAGAATTTTAGCATCCTTTCCACAGCTCAGCAACAGTTCGGGATCCGCCATACTCCAAGCTATTGTCAAAATGCCCCTGTGAAAGAAGTTGCAACCAATGAAGCCTTTGTAAAAGTTGAAAACAAACTCTGAAATATATTTTTTTTAGAAAATATTTGAATACATTTATTGTACATCGGAATCTATAAACACGCATTACAATACATATATCAAACAATACAAAACATACATTACCTATATACATACCCAACATGAACACACCTACCATGAATTGACCTCCAACCATTCTCATCGCGCTAGTTTACATTTATTTAATCTGCACACATTTCATTTTGGATGTTCGATTCTTCCAAATATTTTCCAAGCTAAGTTCATTATATTCTCTTTATTTCTAGATTCATTCACTGTCTGTCAGGGGATCTACCTTCTCCACATAGTTTTTAAGAGATTCTTTAAAGATAGTCCATTCCTTATTATCTTTTTGTAAGGTGTTTCCTCTTACTCTCCCTGTTGATTTAGCAATGCGTAAGTATTCAATCGTTTTTGCTAAGTGGTCTGTTTTTGTGGGGACATTACTAATCCACATAGCAAACTGCTGCTAGCAATGAACGATGATGTCGTTAGCATTTTCAACATCTGCCAACCACCCAGCCAGTCAGATCTGCGAGAGACCAAAGATATGAATATACCTTGCATGGCTTTCTAGAACACGAAGTGGAGAAGATGCAAATCGGAGGTCCCACACCTGGATTACAGGCAGCCTGTCGTCTTCCGAAGCCAGAACCATTTGTGTAGCGACATCAGGATGCCAGGCCAGCCCTGAGCAGTGCATCTGAAATTGTACAACCAGTGCTCAAATAGCAACATCAAGCAGGCTTAAAAGAAACCAGACCGCTGCCTTCTTTCCAAGACCTCCTTTGCGCAGCTCTCTGCCAGTGCTGATACCTCTGCCTTTGCGCTGGGCTGGGCACATGTAAAAGCTTTTGCCCCTGTGGTTTGTCACTCCCAAAGCAGATGCAGATATACCATACAAGCACACTCATGTCCCTGTATTAGCACTGGATGCATTGGGACATTTTGCAGTGGGTTCTACTTCCCTTTACCCTAATTTTGCAAGTACAGCCAATGGCCCATCTAGTCCAGCATCCTGTTCTCACTGGGGCCAGGCAGATCCCTTTGGGAGACCTGCAAGCAGGGCCTGCGACTCATCCATACTGTATTTATGAATGGGCCAGCTCACAACCTGAACAGGCCAAAGATGGAGAGAAGAGGCATGCACACCCCCTCTCCATGCATGTAACAAAAGACAATTCACACTCCCTGCCACATGTGAATAGGCCCAATTTACAGGATTTTCCCTGTATGAAAAGTTTGGGGAGCAGAAAGATTGTGCAATGCACACAACAAGTAGAGCGCTTCATTAACTTTTATCGTTTTCAATCTTTTTGGGCTGACCTTCAGGGTTACTCCTCCCAAAGGGGAACATACAACGATAAAACCATTTCCATGTTGTTACACTATGTCACGTGAGAGGAATCTTTTTGCAGCTCATTATTTTCTGAGCAACCTGGGAAGGGGGAAGGGGGAGAGGACATGCCAGTGGTGGGAGGTTCCAGAGGCAGAAGTGGGTGGGGGCAAGGAACCTGAAATTCTAACAGGGCACTAAGCTAGTTTTGATACACCCTATCCTCCATTCCAGCGGTTCCTCAACCTGTGGGTCCCCAGATGTTGTTGGACTAACCTAGCAGTTCGAAAGCACCCCTAAGTGCAAGTAGATAAATAGGGACCGCTTACTGGCGGGAAGGTAAACGGTGTTTCCGTGTGCTGCGCTGGCTCGCCAGATGCAGCTTGTCATGCTGGCCATGTGACCCGGAAGTGTCTCCGGACAGCGCTGGCCCCCGGCCTCTTAAGTGAGATGGGCGCACAACCCTAGAGTCGGACACGACTGGCCCGTACGGGCAGGGGTACCTTTACCTTTACTTAAGCTAGTTTTGATACACTCTATCCTCCATTCAGACAAGCAAGAGGCAAATCAAGGCAGAAACACTCAGAAGAAGCAGAGCCTGGGGCGGGGCAGCAGCTGTGGCCTGGAGAAACCCCCAGGGGCCAAGTAGAGAGGCTTGGGGGCCACATGTAGCCTCTGGGTCCAAGGCTCCCTACACTTCCTCTACGAACATGGGGAAGGAAGGCAGGTGCCCACACCTCAGAAGGAAATTTTCAACCAGCTTTAACAAATACTCGACCGGCGTGAGTGCCACAACAAACTGGCTGAATAGTTACCCGGTTACTGTGGTCGCTGACTTTGATGATAGGTTCATTCTTCCTGAGATCCCACACTGTAGCACGGCCACTAGGGCTTGCAGAAGCCAAGATATGCTGGACTTGCCTGTTCCAAGCAATGCAGCTTATGTCTTCGGGAGGCTGTGGGAAACAGAGCCCATCATCAGTTTCTCATTCTACGGCACTAAAATATGCAATGCCTGGCAGACCTTTCTTATTATTAAGCTCTTCAAAAACTTGGCAGACCTCCATTGAAAATGACAATAAAAACTGTTTCCCAATCTTGGGTCTCCAGCTGTTTTGGGACTACAACTCCCATCATCCCTAGCTAGCAAGACCAGTGGTCAGGGATGATGGTAGTTGTAGTCCCAAAAACACCTGGAGACCCAAGGCTGGGAAACACTAGTTTAACCTATTATCCTTAGTTCTCACTTTAAATGAGTTGTACCTGAGGCTCAACTCAAGTTTACACACACATCAATCAGTAATAATTTTAGCCTGTCATTTACTCAATAAAGCAGCCAGCTACCCTAAGTTTCATGGTTAATCAGTTCATCTCTACAATGTCCAAGCACTTTTCAGAAGGATGTATCATCACACAATTACAGTGGTACCTCGGGTTACATACGCTTCAGGTTACATACACTTCAGGTTACAGACTCCACTAACCCAGAAATATTACCTCGGGTTAAGAACTTTGCTTCAGGGTGAGAACAGAAATCGCGCGGCAGCAGTGGGAGGCCCCATTAGCTAAAGTGGTGCTTCAGGTTAAGAACTATTTCAGGTTAAGAACAGACCTCCAGAACAAATTAAGTACTTAGCTAGCCCGAGGTACACTGTACAGGTTTCTCAAAAAGCTTTACATGATTCTAAGATGTTTCCTTCCACCAAAAGGATCTTAAGTAGGGGAGGAGAACTTGTAAATCTCCAAATGTAACTGGACATCCAACCTCCATCACTTGACCATTGGCCCCACAAGCAGGGGCTGATGGGAGTTTGAGTTTGAGGATGCCTGGGGGACCACAGACTCCCCATCCCCAACCATAAACAGTCTGTAAGATGACAATCGCCTCATTCTCTCACCAACCAATCAAATGGTTTTAAGACCTGGGCAAAATATGTGTCTTGTACCTGAGTCTTGGCTCCTGGAGTCATAGGCGTTGCAAAATTGTTCAAGTCCCATATGTAGATCTCAGACTCATTTGCACCAGAGGCAACTAGGTTTGTCTATAAAACAGAGAACACACACACACTCAGGTCCATGCAATAAGGACTGAATATCACCTCAAGTGCTGCTATATTAGGCACTATGATTAATGTGCAGAAAGAAAGATCTAACCTGGAAGAGGTTGACATCCAGAGCTCTAACAGGCCCCGTGTGCTTGTCTTTCTGCGCAATCACAACTTCCTCTTCACCTGCCAATATTTTAGCTGGGTCATACAAAATGATGTTTCCGTTTTCGCCGCCGGCAATGAGTACCCCCGAAAGATCCCCATCAGATGTCATTCTGTGAGGACCCCATATCAGTTTGTGATACCTGCAAAACGATGTAAGAACGTGAGAAGAGGTCTGCTGGATCAGGCCAAATACCCCTCTAGCCCAGCACTTTGTATTCAGTGCAAAGTAATTCAATACAACGGTCTAAAGTAACCAAGCCAGACACCTCCAACGACAATGCAAGCAGCCGGGAGAAGCACAGTGTTTTTGCTGTTTGACATTAAATCGGCCATGAAAGATTCATGGACTCTGTTCAAAATCGACAGGAGGAGAAGCATAGTCTTTTGCATCTATGGACAACACCCAAGCCACTTTGTCCTGAGAAGCAGCCATTCTTAGCTCAGCACAAGTGCTGCTCAAGCAGTAAACAGGTAGAATTATTCCCATTAGCTGAATGTACACTCAGGACAATTGTAGTTCTAGCAGAAGGAAATGCAATAGCAGCAAGGAAGGAATTCAAGGCCACCTTTACAAATAAAGGCCACCATTCAGGGCTTTTCTGCAGGGCCAGGAGCCTTGGTACATCATAGGAACATAGGATATACAGCCCAGGAATAAGGAAATTGGCCCTCCAGGTCTTGAAAGACTACAGCCAAAGGGGGTTTGAATCCAGAAATTGATATGATCCCTGTTGCGACCTCTGTGCTTAGGAGGCCAGGGAGCCAGCCAGAGCAGTACAGTCTACCTACCCCTGACGCAACTGTTCTGTGCCTAAGCATGTTGCTTTTGCCAACATCTTCTTTCTCCCTCTCACCTCCAGGGACCAGCAAGTACAGGAGACACAGCAAGGACAATAAGGCCCAGCTCTGTGTAGGGCTTTCTCTCTCTGCTGCAGCATGGAGGATCAGTCACTGCTGAGTTATGCCCAAATGCACAGTGGCATGACAATGAAGCTGTGTGCTTTCTAGTGGGCAAAGGACCTTGAGGCTGGATGTAAGCCACTAACAAACTTGGACAGGCGAGACGGATGGGAACTGAAGTCCAAAACAATTAGAGGGCGCCAGTTTGGCGAGAGCTGGTTTATCATGGCATAAACTATCAGGAGAAAAAACCTCCAGATCTTGAAAGCTGTGCCCCTTTGATTGCTAATACTCACATCCTGAGCTTTTCATTTACATAAGCAGATAGACAGTTTTTAAAGTCTGCACATACCTATGAGTGGATGAGAAAGTAGCACAGGACTTCATATCCAGCGATGGGTCAGTCAGGTCAAGTTCAAATATTTCCAGGGAAGCACTGGTACTGAAGCTTGCATCTAACTGCTGAGCAGATGTACCTGCAGAGACATGTCAAACGCCTTACTACTGATGTACTGTAAACATAACACTTGGGAAGCCCAAAACAACCTCACACACTTAAGGGAAGAGATAAAACCGAATACAGTTTTTAAAAACCTATTTTTAAAACAAGCAAACACATCCCCATCAGATTTTGAATCTTTTTGCTGTTTGTGACATTACAAAACCTCCATTTTTATATGGAATTTCTCTTGCCCTTAATAACGTTGGGAATTGGCAAGGAAAAGAAAGGATTTTAGTGCACCACAGTATAGTGTGGTGCTGAAGCCCTGCACAAGCCCACTGACTCTATTAAGTCTGCAATCCTGTGCACACTTAACTGGGTTTGAGCCACATAGAACACAGTTCAATGAACTAAACAGGTTTATATATCTAGGAGTCTGATTCAATAGCTATGAAAGATAAGTGGATTTGAAATGTACAGAGGCAATGTACCTCTAAATACCAGCTGCTAGGGCTAAACTAAAGACTAAGGCTGTTGCCTTCACGACAAGCTTATGAATACACAGAGATACCAGCTGCTGTTGAGAAGATGAACACAGATGGATGCTGGTCTCATACAGCAAAGCAAATCTCAAATTCACATTTAGCGCAAGTTCAAGCTAAGTGTTGTAAGTTATTTGGAGACCTTTGGTCTCCAATTAACAAGTAATAAGTAACAACTACAACAACTTGAAAAAGCCAGAACAAAAGCCCCAAACAAATACAGGCAAGGGCTTTGATTTACAGGTAAACCTTTTCTTCTTTGGGATGTGATTTTTATTTTTTTCTGCAGGCTATTCTCACCATCTTTCAGCATTCAGAAGAGGAGCATTTTAATGAGGGCTCAAAAAGCATTCAAAATCCCTAAGTGGCTGGCATCAGAACTAAAGTGCCATGTCTGCAGACATCTGAATTAATATTTCAAATGTAAGTATACTAGTATCAGATTTCTAAATGACCAGGTGACTGAGATTTTCCTCAACAGGGAGCTTCAACTGAAGCCGAAAGGCTGGCTCTAGAGTGCCCCTATCCATAAAGGGCAGGAGTCCTACCACTTGCAGAAGAGTTTTGCTCATTGGACCTCTGGACCCAAAACATGATATTTTCACATTGCAATGAAATAATAACTCACCAGTAGCCAAGTAGATGGGGTGGTGGTGAGATGGACTCCATGCCTGCATGGCAGTACGGTCTATCTCTTTTAGCTTCATCCTGCTGAGAAAGTACAATACACAGACAGCATCACTACATGAGAAGGTGAGAAACTGGACAAAAATGAAGACTTCACACACTCTGCTCTTAACCCAAAACTGTTCGGAGGAGGCAATATTTAAATCCTTCTGATTGGAAGAATAAAAAATACAGTATATGTCTGTGTCAAAGTAGTCTTCAGAATATTCACCAATACAGTGGTACCTCTACTTATGAACGCAATCGGTTTTGGGGTACTGTTCGCACCCTGAAAAGTCCGCAAGTAGAGCACCGCTACTGCGTGTGCGTGATAGATTGCTTCTGTACATGCGTGAAGCGCACAGATCACTTCTGCGCATGCACGCAGATCACTTCTGTGTGTGCGGCAACCCAGAAGTAAACACTTCCGGGTTTGCTGCGTTCGTAACCTGAAAAGCTGAAACGTGAAGCAAACATAACACAAGGTATGACTGTATTAAGAAAAGAAATCCTAGACAAGTTTAAATCAGTAGACCACAGTGGTGGCTCCTCGCTTGTGGAATGCTCTCCCAGGGAGTTCATATTCTGTTCTAACTGCTCTGGCCCGAAGTAAGGTTGGGTCTGGAGTAAGCAAAGATTCAGAAAACTGTCTAAGCTGAAGGCTATAATGCAGCTCATAAACAAACAAACAAACAAACAAACACACCTAATCCACACATGGCACTCTGATTTCTTTGCTGTCCTCCTCACAAACAGCTTCATTCAAAACCAGAAATTCTTGCATGGCTCAGTACCAACAGGGCATGTGGCTCTGAAGCTCTATATATGAAACTGACAGTGACGTTTTCCTGTTCATTTTTGATTAGCAGCAAGCTGCCAAACAAATTGTGGTTGGTTATGGCTTCTTTGAAACCAGTTGAGTAGAAACCATGGTTTATGAAGCTAGCTTGTTTTAACAAACCATAGTTAACATTAACCACAGTTTAAGGTTCAGATAGAATGCTAAACTGTGGTTAAGCAAAGGCAGAAGCTTGCGGATTCCTTCTAGTGGTTGTGCCAGGTGACACAATGCAACATAAAATGAGCATTAAAACACTGTAAATAAAGGTTTTTGTTAGTGTAACCTGTTCTGTGAACGTAACCCCTGCATAAGTGGGGAGACACCTGTATGAGAAAGGGGATTTTGACTAAAACTTCAGGAAGAACTTTCTGAGAGTTAAGAGCTGTTTGATAGTGGAACAGTGGACTCCCTTGGGAGCTTGTAGACTCTCCCTTAGCTGGAGGTTTTTAAGCAGAGGTTGGGTGACCACCAGAGATGGATGCTTTAGTTGAGATTTCTGCACTGAAGGGGGTTGGATTAACATGACCCTCGTGGTCCCTTTCAACACTATGATTCTATAGAATGCTGGCATGCACTCATTTATAAGAAGAAACTGCAAGCAAGTTCTGGAATACAGTTATCCAAAATTCCACCTCCAGACCTCCACCTAAGTGCCAGTGAAAAAGACAACGTGGCCCTCACTCGGGATGGCCAACCGCCCAGAATTTTGTTCCAACCACAGCTTCCTCTTAAAACGCTTTAACTAAAACCTTAAACTGGAACTGTGTGATTATGCCACAAAAGCTTTAATTAGAACTAGAAACAAGCTAAAAGAAGAAAGTGTAAAACAGAAAGTACCGCAAAACTTTCAGATAAGCATCTCTCAAGAAAGTACTTTCGAGGATTATTTGCCAACTGCTCAAACTGGTATCATCAATGTTGAGTCTCCCTACTCCTTTTTGCTGTCTCCTAACCAGAAAGCCAATAATTCTTATAGGAGCACAGCACTGAAGGAAAGGATTCATTTTTTAAAGAACTATGTCTTGTGTGAATGTAGTCCCTGCAACAGCCTTTTTCCATAGCAAGGAAACTGAAGTGACTGTAACCCAGCTGTGGAATGCTCTAACCACAGAGGCTCATCTAGTGCCCATGTTGTGGTCTTCTTGGTACCTGGTGAACAAACTTTTGATTTCCTCTTGCTTTTCTCTACTGGTGCCTTTTCAATACTGTGTACCAACACTGTTCTCTGTGATTGTTTTTTTAAAAACAACACAGGCTAATCTCTCGCTCAGTGTTTGATATTCCCTGGGTACAAAGTTGGCGACTGACATCTCCATCGAGCCAGTTTAAAAACCTCTGTCTCAGTCCACAGTTAATTCCATTTCCGTTTATACTGTATGAGTTTCTCCTTCTTGCACAAAGGGACAAGTGAACTGTTGTAAGAGCAAGCTAAAAGTCAAGCAATATAGTTGAGATCATAGAATTGTAGAATTGTAGCACTGTCTTATATATCTGTTTCTGACATTGCTCTAGCTCATTTGTCCAGCTTCTGCTGGTTTAAACATCGTACATGTTGTGCGTAATCTATCAAAATCCTGTGTGCTCTTATGCTAAGAAAGTTGAGGCAATACAATATGTTATGTGTTCTCTGGTACCAATCCCGCAACAGCTAACCACACCACTTCTTCATTTTAAGTACTGTACAGCTTTTAAAGTCACACTTCCTGAAACGAAGAATTTTCAACAAATCATGCAACAGGAATCTAAGTGTGAGCTGCAGCACTAGTCTATACAGTGAAAATGGAAGTTGATCTGGAGCCAATAAAGAAATATCATTTGGAAGCGACCATAGCATCTTAAATATTCGCTTTTCTTTAATAGCGACTGTTCCTAATTCTGCACATGCCCACTTCTTCTTCAACTTGTGCATGGACAGCCAGTATGCTGCCTTTATTTGGGTGTTAGATTATGACAGGCCAGGGTTCAAATCTCCATTCAGTCATGAAGCTCACTGGGTGAGCAGCCTAAACTACCGTATTTTGCGCTCTATAAGATGCACCAGACCACAAGACGCACCTAGTTTTTGGAGGAGGAAAATAAGAAAAAAATATATTCTGAATCTCAGAAGCCAGAACAGCAAGAGGGATTGCTGCGCAGTGAAAGCAGCAATCCCTCTTGCTGTTCTGGCTTCTGGGATAGCTGCACAGCCTGCATGAGCTTCTTGGAGGAAGGATTGTGTATAAAAACAATGAATAAATAAAATATTACTTTTTTCCACTTAGTGCTGGACAAATTGCAAGTCCTCCAAAGAATTCAGAAAAATAATACAGTACTGGAGAGATATTTCCATTACTGAACTTTCAAAGTATCACTGCAGCCTTGTCTCCTGCTAGTCCTAGAGATAGAAAGGAGTTTACAACCTTCCACGGTGTCCAGCTACAAAGAAAGCTATTACTTGGCACTGTAACCTTTGATACTAACACAGCACCAAAGGAAGTGCTGCCTCTCATTAAGAGAGATTAATAGGAAAAAGGGACCCAAGGTTACTGGTATCTCTTGAAATCTGTGGTCTTCAAACTTTGCAGACTTGGAACCTGCCTTTAATCCAAACATGCATTTGGGAACCCATTTGTTAATTTTTAATCATCTATTTGTATGGCAGTAACACTGCTGTTGTGACCCAACCTAGCTCAGGCTTGCAACTCAGTACTGGATCCCAATTTACCAGCTGAAGATCACTGATAAGCCACCGTGGTTAAGAAGCAGATCTTTCCTAAGAAAATACAAGCCTGCATGCAAACCCTCTTGCTACCAACTGCAAATACAAAATCAATGCCACATACGCAAGATTACACTCTTGTTGTTCCATGGTAATTAATCCAAAACTAACAAGACTCCTAGGGACGCGGGTGGCGCTGTGGGTAAAAGCCTCAGCGCCTAGGGCTTGCCGATCGAAAGGTCAGCGGTTCGAATCCCTGTGGCGGGATGCGCTCCCGTTGCTCGGTCCCAGCACCTGCCAACATAGCAGTTCGAAAGCACCCCGGGTGCAAGTAGATAAATAGGGACCGCTTACTGGCGGGAAGGTAAACGGCGTTTCCGTGTGCGGCTCTGGCTCGCCAGATGCAGCTCTGTCACACTGGCCACGTGACCCGGAAGTGTCTCCGGACAGCGCTGGCCCCCGGCCTCTTGAGTGAGATGGGCGCACAACCCTAGAGTCTGTCAAGACTGACCCGTACGGGCAGGGGTACCTTTACCTTTACCTTTAACAAGACTCCTAATTTTTGTATTAACATACATTACGATCTGCCACTCAACAACTTAACACTGAAATGTGTGTTTATCTGTGATATTACTAGCAGCCCCATATCCAAAAAACTGCAGCTTTGAAAGGTTCAGCCCACCATCTTGATTCAAAATGGTATCCTACTGTATCCAAACATAGATGACAACATGCTGCTTGACCCAGGAACCAATGTGCAAAATTTGATTACAATACTGTATTATAAAAGATGTCCAAACTCATACAGAAAAACAACTTTCCAAAATTCAGTGGAGGTAGCAATTAACATTTTGCCATTTGATCACTAGCCTTATCTTTGGTGTGCCCTCCAAGGGTGGTAGATATTCTAAATTAAGTGGTCCTGAATAAAAGTGCCACTTTGTGTACAAAACACTAGGAAAGTGCCACTTTGTGTACAAACAGTAGGAAAACTCTTCTGGGTGGAAAATATCAGTGACACGCTCAAGATCACTGAGAGATTTAAACACAATAATCAACTGACTCTACACCTTCCAGTATGTATTTCAAGACAATCGGAGAATAGGCTAAAACTTAAATCTGAAGGTCTTTGTCATGGTACACTAGCTGTAGAAGAAGGCACTTTATGCAATATTTCAGGGGTGGCCAACTCCCACTTCACCCCCTTTGATTTCCCTAACTTAGATTTCCCCTAAAAGCTCAAAAAACTTTGACTTCCCAAAAACAGCTCAACGACTTTGGTCAATGTAGTGGGTTGATCACTGCCAGTTTTTTATAGTGGGAGTAGATCGCAGTCTCTTGGAAGTTGGAAAAGCCTGCAATATTTCAATGCGTGCTTAGCTGCTGAAGCCAGGATCCTAATTTTCAAGTATGGAACTAGGGAAGGGAGCAGCAGCTCCTTCAGGTATACGAATGCAAAAAAATATTGATGCAACAGTATGATTTTGCTGATATGCGATTTCTCCA